TATTCTTAAAGTAGATACTATAAAATAAGTAAATGAACCTAGATAATGAATCGAACGAGGAAGTAAAGCAGTATCCTAAACCGCAAGACCACTGAGGCCGTCAACATTCTTAAATAGTTTAATATATTATATAAATTGATTCTTTTAAATCTTATGACTATTTATTATACTGTGAAACATATATTGTATTATATTAATTACTGTATGGTACTGGAGCGGGAACATAACAACTATTTTTTTGCTAATTAAATAATAGTTATAAACGTGTATTTATCAAAAGGGCTCACAGCGAAGAGATAACAACAAGAAGCCAAAAGTGACATGTAAAAAACATATATCAAAATACAAAGTTTATAAAAAGAATATGAGAGAAGCTGCCGGCAACATCCCACCGTCCTGTGACTAGTAATAAAAATAATACAATAATTGTTTCACACAAAATAAATAGTCATAAAATTTAAAATATTGTGAATATATTTTTTGCAATTTGCGAGCAATTGAACCCGCGAACTTCGGAAGTAAGTGCTAACACGCTACACCACCGCGGCCGTCTATAAAAGGAGGTCTCAACGAAACTCTTTGGATGGCATCTGATAACTTTTTATATAATCTATCTGATTGATTCAGCGCTTAATGTAAAATATTAGTAATTCGCAAATTGCAAAAAAATAATACAATAATTTGACGGTTCATTCATTTTGATACGACTTTGTTCAACAATAATAATAATAATCTCACGACAATTCACACAGTGCCATCTAGACCCAAGTTAAGCTAGATAAAGCTTGTGTTATGGATTCTAGACAACTGATACAAATACATAGATTTTTTATTCGTAAATATATTATAAATATAATACATATTATAAATAGAAAACACCCAGACCAAAGCAAACAATCATACAAATTTTATGTACCATACGAGGAATCGATCCTGCGACCATCGGAAATAAGGCGGTGATGAACAAATATTAACAGTAGTAATAAGTAATCTATATAATTTTTAACTATTAATATTGTTGAATTATTATATAACATCATTATTTTTAACATCGGTTTATTATAAAATATATTAAATTAAATTATTTTTTTTGAAATGTTGGTACAATTGATAAGATATTACATTAAAATATTAGTGTTCAGAAATATTTACCATAACAAGCATGCAAATCATATGAAATTATTCGTTTTTGTCAAATATTCTTGAACACTAAAAGTTATTAGGCAATTATTCAGTTTGCGTTTAAACAATGCATAAAATATCAGTTCTCTAATATTCTTGGGAAGATTGTTATACACTGTAATTGCCTTTAATAAATTTCTCTTATAAATCTAAACGACACATTGGTGTCTATATGTTATTATGGCTCGTTTACCATTGCAATTTTTATTATAATATAAATCTAATACTTACTATCTATGGCACTAATTTTAAAGCTTGTTAGAGTAATATTTTGCAGAGATGTTATGGACATGAAATGTCGGATATGTATAGGTTTGGAATATAGGAATGATTATAATACCGTATACGGATACGGATGCGGATATGAAATTATTTCGGATCATCCGTTATTTTCGGATAATTTCGGTTACGAATACATTTTTTTTAGGAATTTCAAAAGTAAAATACAAATAGGTAATGAAATGATTATATAACATGTCTCAGGCGTCTCTTAGGCTCCGCCCCTATCCGATGTTGTCCGAAACTTTTATTTCGGATTCGGTTATGGTTACGAATATATTTTTTTATATGGGATATCCAATAGTTTCAGTTACGGTTACGGAACTCCCTAACATCCCTGATATTTTGCTATCTTACTATTAGCACAATAATAATAATAAATAAACATAAGTACTAACTTAGTAACATAAGTACTAAACTCAATACGTACATTGAGTTTAGTTAGTAGCAAATTGGACTATCCTCTTGATGACTGCGCCAACGACGCTCTATAGTTGATGTTGTCCCTTCTATAATCTCCCTTACCCCAATTCAAAAGTGAGGGGTGAGGCCTCTCACTTTTGTATTGGCAGTCCCTTAAGGCCCTTAAAAACACCTTCCGAATGGTTTTTACAAAGATCCATTCAAAGACCCTGGATTTCGGAATGCAAACCTTACAGCAGTCCACTGTTTGAAATTAGTCTCCAGAGTAGACCTGCTGCCCTTTAGAAGAAGTATAAAATGCTGGAAAGAAGAATTCTAAATCTATAAGAAATATATTAGTATCAATATTATTTGTACCGATTTTAATTGAAATAGCAAACAAATTGACGCTCTTCTAATACAAACTAGTAAACGTCGCCTATATACATGGACAGTACCATGGCATCACATCATCACCGTCCACCACGTAGCACCACGCATACGTTACCATTCCAGAGGACTTTGCTGTCATATCTCTATATCCTGTAATTTCAGTTGGAATATGTCACCACCAAGACGACGCAGAGGGGGAAAAAGGATTGCTAGTAATGTGGAATGTTATCCCCATTGCTAGCAATGTACCACGTCAGGTAGAGCTCCACGCGGTTCCCTCTGGAAACCATAGTGGTAAACTGCCATTTGCCAATATAGGCTAACTTCACAAGTCATACCTCAAAGGGTTTGGAATCACCTCGGATGACAAATACATCTGCAATGATGATGCTCCGCATACTATGGATCATCTCGTTAAGGAGGTCCCACGAAGAGGTTTGGTCCCACGAGACTAGACCGTAAGACTGCCTTTCGTATGGCTCAAATCTTGGAAGCATTCCATCTTCTATCAATAATCAAAACCCAATCCACCAAATTTTTATTCACAATCTAATCAAACATAATCATTATCATTAACATCCTCAAGACCATCTTCATCACTAACACCAAGACCATCGTGAATATTGTTTATTATGAATTCGCTCTTAATTATACATTTTCGTTGTTTTCTATACTCTTATGTTCGTTTAGTTTTGACATGTTTTCGTATTATTATGTTTTTCTTTCTTTCTATTCTGTTTATTTTTTTATCTTCGTTGGTTTGTTTTGTTCTAACTTTTTATTATATATTTCACAAATGTAAATCACATCCATTAATGTAAATCATATTCTTCACCAAATCCAAATTCAAACTAAATTTTACAAATTCATCCATCAATTCATCTCAATTAAAAACCACTTCATGAACAAATAAAACCCCATCTGCAGAAGGGCGTATTCTTTAAGAGCAAACGCAGAAGCATAAAGAGAAAATCCAAATTGCTCTTTTTAATTAAATATTTATATATATAGCCTAACGAACCAGACTTCATGTTCATTTTATCACACTTCACTGATACCTCACCAGAGTAACCCGTCAGTGCAGGCGGGTGCATAATTCCATTATCAACCATAAAAAAGTTGAAGCAGACCTGCTGGATAACCACGCAGACGACTTTTCACAAAGTTCACGTCGTCAAATAAATAACAAATGAAGTAATTAATAAATACTATTCTATAATTTGTTCTATGAACAACTACTGCTAAGGAATTAAGTAGATTCCGCCCATCTTTTAATCGAACTAGTTTGACTAACCTATAAAATGATTATGAAAAAGAATAAGGCAGAATACCCTATTCTTTTTTAAACAAGCAGGCCACAACCAAACTTGGATTAGTTTGCATGGGGACGATGATTGTGATGGCGAAATATTTTTTCTTACAATCTTATTATTATTCTATCTAATTTGTAGTATTCTTCCTTTAATGGGGTGACTTTATTTTTTATTATTTTTGCCCCAACGGCCATCTGTCCTAAGAGTCTTCGGGCTATGTCGGTCACTCTGGTTTTTCCTCTCCAGGATCTCTCTCTCTCTCTCGAGGATCTCCTCATTTTTGATTCGATCACGCAGAGAAACTCCGAGCATAGCTCTCTCCATTGCCCTCTGAGTGACTCTGAGCTTGTTCATGAGGCCCATAGTTAGCGACCATATCTCTGTGCCGTAAGTCATCTCTTGTCCAGATTTAAAGAAATTTTCGAACTATTCTAAACACATACTATATAGAATTACAACCTTCTATACTTAGGGTTTCTTATGTTTTCTGTAATTACGGTTGACTATTACTTCGCTATGAATTGCAAGAGTGAAACCTTCAGACTCAGGAACTAATTCACCTCTTCTTAGAGTTTCGTTCGACGTATTACTATAATTATTAGTATTTGTTACATAGAATGGGAATGTTAGTAACGGCTATTTGTACGAGGAAGAAAAATGAGTGAAACTATTACCGGGCGACTATTAACGTACCTAGTAGAATTGTTAGCATGTTTGTCGATAGGTTTGACAAACGCAGTCAACCACAGAGTAATCTCTATGTAATAATCAGAGGTAATCTCAGAAACCGCCTAACCTATTTGGATGCAATTTCAATAATGTATTGTAGTACTTTTAATTTGTGGTAATTTTCAGTCGGTTCATATACAACAGTCTCGGGCTTGTCAATAAATAGATATCAGATGTAGCATTATGAACTATGAACGGTTTGATGATGTTAAGTACCTAATGATAAACTTTGATTTAATAACTATATTATTAATACACAACCTTGACAATTTTCCACCAAACGATCATCACTATATTTAGCGGATGATCGCCTAGGGATGGTCGATATTCACCGATGTCGAATAAACATCGATATTTAGTAGAATATCGAAATTTTAACAGCGATGACATCGGTCAAAAAACACAAAACCAAACATTCTTGCGGCTAAATAAGAAGATTAGTAGCGCTTAGAAATATGAATTACTATATTTGTTACTTATAAACTACTTATAAATTTCTGGAGCTCCAAAAAATATATTTATTATTATACTGACTAAAAAATCACTTTTTCTTGTACATAGATACTTAACGATCGATTTTTAAATCGATATTAACTTCTATAAAATATATAAGGCTATTAATTAAATAACTACATACAAGAATAAGATACAACTATTATAATATAGTATAATGTACATTACTCTATTTAATTACATATTTAAGGTCTAATAAGAAGACCAATTAGTAACGGCCAAGAACATAAAAAAATAAGAACACAAATAGGCACAAAATATTACTCTATACGTATTGGTCATTAGTTTGGTAACTAATCGTTACTTAGTACATCGATACTTCGATATTAGAATCGATTATCCCTATTATCGGCCCCATATATCAATCCAGTAATAGTAACCGTAGCCTAAGGCGGACTGTACACGAACTGTGACATTATTGTATCCGATTCCACCAGCTATGATCCAAGGTGTTGCATACTGAGTGGCTCCAACCTCTGTAGCCTGGACCGCACTGATCCATGTGGTAAAGTTACCACGATATACCACATCCTGGTATTGAATCGCATTAGCTATTGGTGGTTGGTACACATTTACTCTAAAAAAGACAAAATATACATATTATTATATTTATACACTGTTGTATGTATATTGTATGTGTAATTATATATTGTATTGGACTTTAATTATCATGTTTCAGATTTAATTTCATTTCCCTGTGTCGATGTTTTAGGTTGACTGGAAGAGATCTCTTTTAGAGATAAGTCCTCCTTTGCTAACAATATTTAATATAAATTTGAAATTTTGAATTTAAAAATGCAATATAAATAAGTAAATAATTCTGGACAATTAACAACGCCATCTAGTCCTAATGTAAGTGAATCATGTGTTATAGACAACTGTATAAATACTTAGATATTTTTTTGTAAATACATACATATAAAAGATCAAGACCGATACAAACATTCATACACATGAATACAAATTATTGTACTGTGCGAGGAGTCGAACCCGCGACCATCAGAAGTAAAGCGGTGTGCTATACCGCTAGACCAACAAGACCGTCAAAATAAAAAATTGTTACATAACTATTTATACAAATAAATAAAATACAAATTTTCTGTTTGCTAGTTACATTTTCACCAATTAACAGCTGAACGGATCTTGATGATGAAATATGATATAATCGTAAAGGTGGTCATAGTGTATCTTTAATTGTAATAAAACAGACGAAGTTGTGTATTACGGCCAGTATTATAAATTCCAAATCCAAGCCAAAGGTTTTTAACTTTTCACGACTAAACGGCTGAACGGATGTCAATATAATTTGGCGTGAAGATAGATTATATGTCATAGTAGACCTTACAACAATCAGAGGGGGCCCTCTGATTACTGTAAATGTGACCAACTGTAAAAAAAGATGATTTTTATTGTTCGCATTTATATAATAAAACTAGAATGATGTAATTTGTGGACATACATTTTGTATTCTCGAATTTCTTTGGTGTTATAGTTTAGAGTTATTATTATTATTATTTCAGTTTATTTTAATACACAATTTTGCTTCATTTTTTAAGGTTGATTATTATTTATAAATAATCATTATTTTCTATTTTATAGAACTTAACACTATTTTATTGTATCATACACACCCTTAAACACCCTGCATGTAATCTCTCGGCGGTATACTAATCTGAGATAGGTTTTCCGTTTAGATGAATTTTAAATTTAAACCGTACCTGTGCAGTAGTTTATCGCCAGAAGTCACGTATCCTACATTCAGGTTGGTTCTGGAGGTTGGTGCTTTAATTAAGGCACCATATCCAAGGGCTAGCAGACATAGCACCTGCAGTAGCAGAAGGATCTTCATCTGAAAGAAAATCCACAAAAAATAAAGCAACTTAAATTAAATATACTATACTTAACCTATTGGCTTTATAAGTCAGAAGATTGGGACAGACTGCGAGAATTGGCCTCCGTTCCCCCCACTGGTGCAGCAGCCGAGTACACTCGCACAACTCTTCTCCACCAGCACGACTACTACACCAGGGATTATGCGCGGGCGGTGGTTCAGCCTCCCAGGGTGGAGAATAGAATAGAATAGAAAATCATTTATTCAAATAAACTTAATTTTCTTGCTCATTCTTCTTCTGATACTTACCCAAGAAGAATGATCAAGAAACTTGCGTGCTGTTCTTTTAAATAAATCATTGCAACTTTATATTTCCATTTCGAAACAAAACACCAACTAGCACTAATTTATTAGGGTCAGATATTAGGTACACAATAGGATTAACAAGTCGTAGTGATCAGACCAATGATCAGATCAGACCAGTCCCTACAAGCAACACTACCATATTTTAGGGAGCACAATGACCCGGCCCATCACGCCGCCACATGTCTGGATATTTTTGTGAGCATGTTTGGGAACCCAACAACCTGCTGGCCAACGGTTACCCGTTTCCGGATATCCCTGAACACCGCGCCACCACAGCGCGCCTAAGCAAACGGCACTGTTAAACAAAAAGGGCCTTAACCTTGCTCACCACAGGAACACAGTGCTGGTGTGAGGTGCAAGTACAGCACTATTTAGCTGTGATTTTCTGCTTGGTGGAGGTACTATGCCACTCCGAACCGCCCCAAGTCGAGATGTATATTATATCTTACTGTATATACATCTTACTGTGCTCTCCCTTCTATATATACCATAAATGACACTACACAAATATTTAACTTTTTTTACACTTACCTCTAAGCATAACCCCTTAATAAAAAAAATAGTTAAAGTTAACACGGATGCAGGCGCGGTAAACAGCCAGTATTAAAATAAAAAAAGAATGTCGATGAGTACCTTTATCCACAGTTGTTATCACTCACTTGATACTATTACTTTGTTCAGTTTTTATATGTTTCTAAGTCATACTTCTAATAGCGATTGCAAGCAGAATATGAAGATCACTATACTTTATTTAGACAGTAAGATAACATTGTCATGTATACTTGAGTTAGATAAGATACAATAACAGGTAGGTATAGTATATACATTGTGTATATGAGAGTTAAAGCTAAGTCCAAAAAAATTACTTCAGTATTTTAGGGTGATACTTTAATAACGTTCAAATATAATGTAAATTAATTATAATCGAATTTGATTTACCATTAGTCTATACTTACTAAAACATATCTAAAGCTCAAGAGTATGTTGTTTTCAGACATTAATCACTGGAAGCAGTAGATTTTGAAAAACCTTTTTGCCTTCAGTATTTCAATTCTTGAAATAGATTATATATAGGGTGATAAATACCACTCTACATCTCTTAGAAACCAAGCAAAAAGAAAAAGAAATAGGTAATACGGTGATTGGAATGCCATGAATCTCGAATCGAGGGTGGTCATCTTTCTTTTATTTTAGACTGCTGCTTGTAGGGACTGGTCTGCTCTAATCACTACGACTGATATAATCTTATTATATATTTATATTGGACCTTAATAAATAACTGCTAATTGGTAGTTTGTATTCACATGTTTCGGTTTATAAATATAAACATAAAACGATTATTTAAAATTGTGATGACTATTCAAAAATGATTAAATTAAGTTTATTTGAATGAAGGATTATCTATTATATTCTTTAAATGGCAAATGAAACCGCGGGGCACTATTAGTTATATATATGACTGTCACACTGTTGATTTGGCTAGATTCCAGCACCGGACGGTTGTCACGTATACCGACCGCGCAGTTTGCAATTTAACTTTATTGGACAGGAAGCTCTTATGCGACAAAATAAATGTTTAATATTACTCTTTCTACTTCTCACACGTCACCCAGCGGGACAACAGAATTTGAAATTTCATTAATAATAATAATAATCATATATTATTGCGTAACGTAATAACTTTGTACCCTTTTTATAAAAATTGCGCGAACGGAGGTGTATGAAGTATCGCACTTTTATTCTATACTAGCTGTTCCCTCGACTTCGTCCACGTGTAATATAACTTTATTTTTCTAAAATAAAGAAATTTCTAAAATAAAAGTAGTCTAAATTACTCCTTATTACATCAGCTATTTGCCAAAAAAAGTCCCGTCAAAATCGGTCCAGCCATTTCAGAGATTAGCCGGAACAGACAGACAGACAGACAAAAATTGTAAAAAATGTTATTTTAGTATATGTACCGTATTTATATTCGTATGCATGTAGTAAAAAACGGATATTTCAATATTACAAACAGACACTCCAATTTTATTTACATATATGTAGATAACAATATCTCACACTGCATCCGAAGTCATTTATTCATGTAGTACATTTTAGCCGCTGTGGGACGTCAAGTTTTTATATTAATATTTTCCCCACCGTCCAGTTCAGACAAAGTAGCCAGGACACTGGCAAGAAATTCAACAGATTTTTTTCATGGCTTAACTTTGTCAAGAAACTAACTCTTATATATTTTCTTAGGTAGTACTAGCTAAGAAAAGTTAAAACGACGAACAGACTTTTCCTAGTTGAAAATTGCTTCCCATTCAGTTGAATACGCCCTGGGACAACAATGGCGAGAGGAAATGAACTTGACGAAGTTTTACAATGACAATTGTATTTTATGATGAAAAAAGAGGATGTTTTTTAAATAATGTAATAGAATGATGCAACCGCTCGTACTGATTTATATGCTAGTGGAGTACTAATAAAGGAAGATAGATAAGGATCAAGTTACATCAGTTGACCAATCGTGGTAAATCCACCAGGTATTGACCATGTCTCAAGGGGGAACGATCCACGTCGTAGTCGACTAGAAATGGCACATCGACAGTAAGGGAAAAATTAGTATAGTAAAGTTTTTAATCTACCGATTTATTTGTTATTTTTTTACATCAACATCAACAGATATACACGCATACACATTTTATAAGACAATATAAATTAAAAACAAAACAGAGTAAATTAAATGTTATCAAAAGCTATTTGATTTATTTATTTATATTTATTATTTTTAAAATATAACTGAAAATTTGTATATCTACTCGCCCCGGCTTCGCACGGGTGTACATGTATTATATATGAATCCTCCTTTCTCTTGTATCACTCTATATATTAAAAAAACCCGCTTCAAAATCCGTTGCGTAGTTTTAAAGATTTTTTTTAGACAGCGACAGCGACTTTATTTTATACTATGTAATGATGATTAATAATGTTTTAAAGAATTTTTAATTATATTTTTTTCACAGGCGGTCTCAGATTCAATGCTGGTCGAGCTTAAAGCTTGCTTCATGGAGGCCTACGACGACAATCAAGATGGAAAGATCGATATACGAGAGGTAAGAAAGTATAATAGACCAACGGAGACTAATCTGCTCAGTCTCACCTCTTAACTCATCCTTAAATCGAAAAACAATACTGAATATTTGTTTTTCGATTTAAGGATGAGTTAAGGCAATGTAATTTAAAGATATGACGTAACATTCGGAATCCCAATGCATGAGTGGCATCGTGACACATGATAAGGTGATGTCATGATGATTACTACTTACCATCTAAATAAATAATAATACTTTTTACCATTCTAAATCTTATTAATATTATAAACGCGAAAGTTTGTGTGTACGGTTTGTTATTCTTTCATGCAAAAACTACTGAACGGATTTTGATGAAACTTTACAGTAATATATAGGTATAGCTTATACAAAACACATAGGCTATACTACAATTTCACGCGGATGAAAACTCGGGCACCGCTAGTATAATATACTCCTACAACTTAAATTAACTACTATTATAAATTAAATTAAATTTAACGTAATTAGTATATGTGTCTTTTTTTACAGTTGGCCCAACTACTGCCGATGGAAGAAAACTTCCTGTTATTATTTCGATTTGACAATCCATTGGAATCAAGCGTCGAGTTTATGAAGGTACGTAGTTAAAACAACAGACGTCCTATGCGTACAATATATTACATCGCATTAACTTATATCGCAGACACACCAACACACGACACCGTCCTTACCGACGAGGACGATGACCCCAACCTAAACAAAATATTTTTATAAAAAAAAACTTTGCTCTAAATACTGATGACTTGCAACTTAGGTTTTCTTTTTAAAAGAATAAAAGATAACTCGTGATACAGTATATCAACATTGTAATATAACTTACTACATACAAATAACATTCGTCAAATTGCTTTATATACTTTCGAATTATAATTATTATTAATAAGCTACCCACCCTGGCTTCGCACGGGTGTACATGTACTCTTTAATCACCCTTTTCATTAAAAAAAAACGCTTCAAAATCCGTTGCGTAGTTTTGAAGATTTAAGCCTACATGCTATGTAATGATGATATTTGTAGGAATTTGTGAAAAACAAACGCCAAAAATTAGGTGTTATAGGTATGACGTGTTTTTACATGTATGTAATGTGTCATCAGACGTGATCAAGCTGAAGCTCGACTACAGTTTATTATCTGTTCAGGTGTTTTATTATCATCAACTTCTTTATTAGCTGCGGACACAAACTTATAAAATAAAATAAAATAGTCTATTGTTTAAGATTTCTGTTAAAACCTTATATAAATATTAATACACGTCCTTAGCAATAGTCGCCTCTAAGGCGTAGTCATTCCCTAAATGGCCCACGCCTACCACGGGACTCTCTCCCGCGCCTTCCTCATCCACTCATCCAGTCCGCTCCAACTTCCTGTGCAAAGATTTCCTCCAACGTTTTTAGATCGTCCTTATTTCCGTTTGTGTTGCATTGGTTTTCACTCTGTCTATTACTCTTTTAGGTCATCTATTATTTTCCATTCTGTAAATATGTCCTGCCCAATCACTGCCATTTCAGTTGTTTTATTCGTTTTTTCGCGGGCACAGACTTATTTAAAATAAAAAAAAAGAGAAAAAGTTCAGTTATACTTATTTTCAGAGACCTTTTTTGGTGTTGTAGGTTCCTTAAAATATTTAACGTGTTTCTTTTTAACATCATGCCAGTTATGCCATAAATAAACCGTCAACCAGACGGAATAGTGGATCTGAAGATTAAATTTTTGGAATTACTCGGAATTTGTGATCATGGAATAACAAATTATATTTTTTTAAATCAAACTTCCTCGAGTATATTCTAATTGAATGGGATGTCGAAATAAATTATTTTTTAATTAGACATCGTTGTTGCGAGCTGTTCGCCCTGAGTTCAAGTCGACGTATATTAATAAGTCTTGTAGGGCCATCAATTCATCACTGTCATGAAAAAGACATTGTAAAACAAATTAGTTTGGAGATGTTACGCATTTTTCACTTTTCAACCGATTTCAAAATAGAAAGTTCTTAATACGACTTTCCTTTTTGAACGTGCATATTAAGTCTCTATTCTAATGAATAGTGCTATTTGGTACTTTTTTCTCTTTCCAATAAGCTTATTATAAAATTCATGTGTTTATAAATGATAATAATATTTAAATAAAAAAAAACTAAATGTTAGTCATAGTGTAAAGAATAGAGACCAAGACGACGAGCAAAAGAAAACGGCACCGGTATGGCTGTAAAATAGTGTAATGACTTATGTCATATAAAATAATATAGTGTTTAAAAAATAAATATAGACAATAAAAAAGATTTATAAAATAGTTTCCAACACATAGTGCTAACAATATTATCTGATTGCGCAAAGAATGAGTGCGTAACAGTTTTTCTGTTGACTATCGCGTCCTAATGTGTATTTACTTAACACAAAATTGTATTGTATTCTAGTCCATACTCAAAGTATTAACATTAGACTTGCGTCTTAAACTTTTAAATACTTCTTTTCTGTATGGTTTTATCACGGGAAACATTGATAGCCCAGGGATCCTCAATGCTATTACATTCTCTGTTACCCGCCGTCGTGTACGTGGAACACATTATTCTCATTACTCACACAAATTATGGTAAAATTCTATATTTTCACGTATAATGTCAACTTATAACAAGTAATCTTTCTTTCTTTCTAATTTAAATTTTATTTAGATATTATTCTAAAACACGTATGAAACGTAACTCTGTCATATACTTAATCACAACCTATAATTATCTTCATACACTTTAATTATACGCATACACACACATTCTTTCTAACACACACACGCACACACAAGTGCCTTCTATTTCAAATAGCAAACTACAACTAACTAAACAAAATTACAAAAATAATAAAGTAAATATATTATAGATATTTATTTAATTATTTTTGTAATTTATAATTTTTGATTTGTACATCTAAATTAATTTTTAATCTGTTTGCCACATTCTATTTTATTTTCTTTTGCTAAGTCACTGAAAAAGTGGCTTCCTAGCAATATTGCTAGCAATGGGGTTATCAGTCCACATTACTAATAATCCCCTTCTCTCTAAAATGTTAGATTAAACACACTATTTCGGTTTATATGTTATAAATATTGTTTTTGTTGTAAGTAGGTATCTGCGTATTCGCAAGGATTCATCTAAGAGTGATAACGAATGATAAATATGACAGTATATTTTTTTATACTTAGCCACTCACAATTACCTACTCGACAGTAATTTTATTTATACCCTTATTACTACTTACTATTTATTTATTTTTATTTATTTTATTCTGAGGAATTGTTCGACATGATGCCTACGGCCACCTTTTACCATCGCACCGCTCGCCATCGACAGGGAATTCATTCCCACACGCTGGAACCTAAGTCGTCTCGAACAGCGTAGTTTCAGAGGAGCTTCCTCCCGCGTACACTTAGGTTGTGGAATGAACTTCCTGCCGAGGTTTTCTCACGAGACTACAGCATGAGGTTCTTCAAAAAGGGTATACTAAGGTTTCTTAAGGGTCGGCAATGCTCACATGACACCCCTGGTATTTCAAGCGTCCATAGGCTACGGTAACCATTTACCATCAGATGGGCCGTATGACTGTTTACCACCATAGTAGTATAAAAAAACCCTTAACTACACCTGCTATAAAAGTATTAAGATACAATTAAAGGAAACTAGTACAAAAAGCGGTCTAAATTCTAAGCAATCTTTTTCAACAATCTTTACTTTGTATAAAGGTAAAGATATGAAAAAAGAGTAGGTGACGTAACAACATATCATTAAATCGTCATCCCGTAATTTACCTTATTATCGGTGTATTTCGCCATATAAAGTTAAAGAAATTAAATATGTATATAGAAAACGTTGAAAGCTATATAGTCCTAACCATGAATAAGTCTTCGTTATGCAGGAATGAAACTCAATACCATTGTAAGATGAGCCGGAGTGTTAGTGATAACATTATCATTATGGCTACATAGCCATGAAGATCTTAAATATGATGCAATTGTTGTACCAACTATGATTCATTGATAAAATCTGATGAGATTATTCACTTTCAGATATGGCGCGAATATGACACTGACGGCAGTGGTTACATAGAAGCTGATGAACTGAAGGTAAAGAATTCAAATAGTAGAATATATAAAATAATATTAAATTTACAATACTGACCAATTCACACAGCGTTATCTAATCCCAAACTAAACAAAAACTATAAATCAAGATTCTTCATTTGTAAAACATGCGTGATTGCTTACTTCAAGAGAATATTATACATGTTATACATATAAATAAAATTGGAGCGTCTATTTCTAATATTGAAATAATCGTTTTTTACTACATGCATATAACATTTTTTTAAAATTTTTGTCTGTCTGTCTGTTTGTTCCGATTGATCTCTGAAATGGCTGGACCAATTTTGACGGGGTTTTTTTGGCAGGTAGCTGATGTAATAAGGAGTAACTTAGGCTACTTTTATTTTAGAAAAATAAAGTTAAATTCCACACAGACGAAGTCGCGTGTACAGCTAGTAAAGAATAAATTAGTCCAACATGTTTAGCCTAGATGGCATATACTACAAATATTATTGAATTTTAACATTAAATGTTGGGCTACGAACACCGCAATAGCATATGCTAGGGGTCACTCTATTCTCCCAAATTTGAATTTAAAAATGAATCTGTATTATTGTAAACATGTATTACATTTAGCTGAGCTGAGTTTCTTGTCAGTTCTTCTCATCTCGAAATCATTCCAAACTTACGGTGAATTTGACATATCTTAAGAGTCTGTAATAGACCTACTTGAATAAAGATATTTTGAATTTGAATTTGAAAATATATTTTTTGAAAGATAATAAAACAGAACGATCTCCTAACAATATACATACAAAATAATACTAATAATAAGTAGAAAATTCCTTAAAATTTTATCTAATTCGTTATATTTAAGAAATATTTGATGATAAGCACACGTACAGATTAATGGTAAATTTCCTAAAATTTTATCGAAATCGATCGCTTTAAGAAGAGTTTGGTTGATATACTTACAGAGGAATCTGTATGAATAATCTGGACTAACATACAACAACCTAAATAAGTATGAAAGTCTCTACGTGGGATTACGGCAGTGACTTGAAAAACTAATTTATCTTTAAATTACAGAACTTCCTCCGGGACCTGCTGAAGGAGGCGAAAAAAATCAACGACGTATCTGAAGATAAGCTAATCGAATATACGGACACAATGGTAACTTTTACCTTTAGGCTGTCTCAACTTTGTACGAAGTGTCTGTGTCACCTTTATCTCAACTTTCTACAAACTCTTCGTATATATTTCTATATAACACTAGCTTTTGCCCGCGGCTTCGAATTTATCAAAATCCTTTCTTAGGGGATGCTTACGTCATAGTAGCTTTATGCATTCAAAGTCTCAGCTCGATCGGTTTAAAATTGATAAAGTTTTATACAAACTTTCATCCCCTATTTTATCCCCTTGGGAGTAGAGTTAATCAAAATTCGTTCTTAGCGGATGCCTACGTTCTAACATATATCTGCGTGCCAAATTTCAGCCCGATCCGTCCAGTGGTTCGGTCTGTGCATTGATAGATAGCAGTCACCTTTGAGTTATATATATTTAGATATATTCTAAATATATATAACTCAAAGGTGACTGACTGACATAGTCTTTGGTCTGATCGGTATTTGACGGCCTCGGTGGTCTAGCCATATATCACGCCGCTTTACTTCTGATGGTCGCGGGTTCGATTCCTCGCATGGTGCAAACATTTGTCTTCATGAGTATGATTGTTTGTGTCGGTATGGGTGTATTCTATGTATGTTATGTATTTACAAAAACAAAATATCTAAGTATTTATATCAGTTAATAGAATATTTTCATTATCGTTAGTCACTATGAAAATATCGATAAAGTAAGAAAGGTTTATCTCATAGCCTCTAAAGAAAACCTCGACAGATAGTTCAGTCTGAGTGTGCGTAATAGAAAACTCCTAAGAGGCGACATCTATACTAATAACTATAAATGCGAAACGTAAATAAAGGTATAAATAAAATATTCCTAAACAAATTAAATAAACCTTTAAAGAAAGGTTTACTTAATCGCCTCATAATTGATGTCGCTCTTAGGAGTTTCTTACCACGCTCACTCAGATTGTGAAATGAACTATCTTCCGAGGTTTCTCTAGAAATTGCAGCATGAATTAAGGATCGGTAAAGAGCACTCCTTGTGTTTTAGCGGTCCGTTTTACATATACAAAATTTCCTCTATTGTATTATAAAAGAAATGAATTACGAGAATGTAAAGTTTGAAAAATCAAATTAATAAAAAAAATTAACTAGTTGTATATTTTATCTTTCCCAGCTGCAAGTTTTCGATTCCAATAAAGACGGGAGATTACAACTGTCTGAAATGGCCAAGTAAGTAATAAGTTTTAAATACTTTTATATTTTATATAGGACTTTTTGCTTATAAAGACTGGTCTGCTCTGATAACTATGACTGATTTATATCGTTGCTCAAGTAACTATTCATTTACGTAGTTCGTTACGTCAAGTTTGTTATCTGGCAATATATATTAGCACAAAAGCTTAAAAATGTAATGTTGAACCTTTATTTAAAAAAGAAACACGCAAGTTTCTGGTGAATTCTTTTTATGATGAGTCTGCGGTTCGAATGAGCGGTGGAATAAAAAAAATAGTATTATTTATATAACTATTCAAATAATGCTTATATGAAGTTTATTTGAATAACTAATATTTCTATCTCTCAATTAGCTATATAAATAACTAACCCGCTATTTCTCTGCTTTTTTTGAGTCCATGTAATAAATACATTTAAATTTACATGTCTTCCTGTCAAGTGTATAGAATTTAGCGTTTGGCTGTTAACTCGTAAACTGGTGGTAACAAACAAATAAACAGACACCGATAGAGACTTAGAGACCGCATTCATAACATAAGTATGTGGGTAATTAAAAATTATGTCTAATAAAACAAGTACATACGTATATTGTATTTTTTATTGCAAAACATTTTTTCCAATCATGATAAAGCTAATGTAAACAACATTAAAAGGGCAATAAACTCTATATCTGACAATTACATCTAATCTTTATCATAAATAGGGTACGGACATAATACACACATTAACTTAGTTCTGATAATTATTAATGATAGACTCATTTTTTAGTTATAGTTAATAATTGAAAATGTATTTTTTTAAATACATTTTAATTTTTTATGTCCATCATTTTGTTTCATGTCCACTGGATGCGACTGTCGTAATTCCCGTTTATGTAATGTGTACAACTATGAATAACCGTGAAAAACTGTTCAAACAGTGTTTATAACTTTTTATTTTGTAAACTGATTGATATAAAACAAACAAAATTTTAAGTGAAGCTTACCATATAAACAAACAGACAAAGAATTTAACTATTATTATTTTTGGGTTCTATTAGGTATGATGCTCAATAATAATTTTGCTCATATATCTTTCAAATACAAAGAGAGAGCAGTTATATTTTTATTATATGTATAAAATAATATGTAAAACTGCAACAAAATCGATTACTACTCAGATTTTCGTCTATATTCAGGCGCTGATTTTCAATGGAACCTTTACTTTATACTTTAATATAAAGTGACTCAAGATATTATTACAATCATTAGAGTGTCCCCATAGAGAGCAATTTCAAACCGAATTTCACGCGGATTCACTAGCTGCCCGCTAAAATAATATTATAAAAGCGAAAGTTTGTAAATATGGATGTTTATTATTTTTTTCACGCAAAAAGTACTGAACGGATTATGATGAAACTTTACAGTAATAATAATAGGCTATATTTTTAATTAAAATTTATATATTGAAATTTAACACAGTTGAAATCGCGGGCACAGCTAGTTTACATATAAACTTGCTCTTGAATCACTCTCTATTTCTGGAAACTCCGATGAAATTAATTGTTCCCGTTATCATATAAAAATGAACATATTGGTTTTTACGACTTTAATATTAACGTTATGTGAATATAGCAAACCGCCAGCTGTTCGGACTTGTAATTCACACGCTACGGACATACGGGGCATACATTTTTAATTTTCAACCCTGACCAAGGAGAAGTCATAAAAGCCTCGTACTTCCTTCGATTTATATTTTATTAAAAAAATAATTTTTGACTTTATAAAACCTTTAACGATATACCTATTTAAAATATTTAAGAAATGTTTAATAATATTCTTTATTGTACACACACACACATAATAAAAAAAAATATACAGAATAAATGTAATGTACAAGGGCGAGCTTATCTCTAAAAAGAGATTTCTTCCAGCAAACCTAGAAAATGTTACAGGATCGTGTATTAAATAGAATAAATAGAATAGTCATACATACGTGTACGAAAAGAGAAAAATATTTGACGGCCTCGGTGGTCTAGCGGTTTAGCACACCGCCTTACTTCCGATGGTCGCGGGTTCGATTCCTCGCACGGCACAAACATTTGTATTCCTGAGTATGATTGTTTGTGTCGGTCTGGGTATTTTCTATGTATAATATGTATGTATTTACGAAAAAAAAATGTATTTATGTATTTATATCAATATCTAGTGTCCATAATACAAGCTTTAGCTAGCTTAATTTGGGTCTAGATGGCGCCCTGTAAATTGTCCTGAGATTATTATTATTATTATTATTATTTAGGTAATTATGGCCTCGGTGGTCTAGCGGTTTAGCACACCGCCTTACTTCTAATGGTCTCGGGTTCGGTTCCTTCCCCATGCAAATAGTTACCATTACAAATAGTTGTATTCATGAGTACTATTATTTGTATCTTTCTATTTTCTTGTCTATTCTATTTACTCCACTTAGATTGCAATGTGTGAAAATCGTCCTATGCTATAAAAAATATATTTAGTTAAAGTATTATATTTTTAATAAAATATATTTTTTGTAACAGCCAAATTTGAACTCACGACATTGTGCATAATTCTAGATATCAAACCTCTAGGCCACGGCGCTCTCAACCTGTTTAAATATGTCTAAATAATATTTCTTGTTTCAATGTTTACAGACTTCTACCCGTCAAAGAAAACTTCCTCTGCAGACAAGTGTTTAAGGTGAGTGACACTTCATTTCCCGCTACAATTGCGACTCCATTTTGTTCTCATATAAGTTTCGTTTCTGTCTGCCCTTTTACGTATTGAATTATTAGCATCTTTATACACCAATAAAGTCAAAGTTATGTTTCATATACATTTTATGCCATTTATTTATCTACGTCAACATTTTTTATTACTATCTCTACAATCTAAGTGCCTTACTACTTCTGTGGGGAAACCATACACTTGTTGATAATGATAAATGATAATTCTTTTGATAATTGTTCATGATCTATGAGGATGATGAAATAAATGATACGATCCGTTGTGAGTACTTGATGTTAGACTCGTCCGGTGAAACTGTAAAGGCCAGCTGCGGTCAACAGCATCAGAGTAGTCCGAAATGATTTTATTATAATAATTAGTAAAATAATACATGCACCATTAGTAATTTATATAGTTATACTACTATGAATATATATGACAAGTATATGACAGAAACTGAAGAAATGCGCCAGTTCTCCCCAATTGAAATAGCTAAGCTGTAGAGATGTGTTAAAAATATTAACGTTCATAAAAGACCAAAGGAATCCTAAATAAAAAAATGTTTTTGGATGGAAAGTGTGATACAGCGTCTATTTAAGTTTTATAATAAAAAAATTCTGTCTAAATCTCGAATATTACGCAAACTTTAGTTGAAATTGGTACAATTAGACATAAAATAAAGCATTATCTTAAATAACATTATGAGGAATTGTAAATTGTATTTATTGATCGGAGCGATCTTTGATCAGATTTGTACTCTTTGTAACGATACTCCTCCGAAATGACTTGAACCAATCGAGACCTAAATTTCATAGAAGATCGGACTGCAGCCGTTCTTTGACCACTCAAAAAAATCCGATCAGTCAAGGTCGAGTGTTTAAGAACTACCGCTCAACATACGACCTGGTATGTAAATGACACACCGGTGACAAACCTAGTTTTTTTTTCGGGCTTTACTCTTATGCTGTTGGCCGCAGCTGGTCTTTACAGCTTCACCGGACGATAGGGGGCGAGTGCAATGGCACTCCAAACCGAAGGAAGAATTTATGGAGCGACTGAAGGCCAACTCTCTTCCGACGGATACGACTTTAGTCTAAGGGCACCGCTAGGGGTTCGAATCCCGGCTCAGGCTGTCGTAATTTCGATATCCGTTTGAATTGGACGGAGGATCGATCGGAAGGGACCTAGTTTTATTTCATACTCACTATATATAAATAAACGACTTGATTACGACTTGCTAAAGAGCTGTATCCAATACCTAAATCGATACTTAATCGGGCACCTGTTCATAGATTCACGTCTCGACTTCTCGACTCAAATGAAATGCTACTTTCATTACCACGAACAACTATTCGCTTCAAATATTTTATCTGTCTCTACGTGAAATAGAACTGTAAATTGTAGAGCATAAGGCACATTTTGTTGTCATCAAGATTATATAATTCATACCATCGACAAATATTGGCTTGTCTTAGAATATTGTTTACTGCTTTATTTATTATAAGACTATTTTAGAAATTGCATTTGTGTTTCTCAAAATAAATACAATTTGTTTTAGTTAAAACGTCTTAAATTAGCAATAGCAGTTCAGCAATAGGGAATGGTTTTTTTTTATTTGCATGCTGGTCATTATGTAGACAGCTATTTTTTTTTTTTTGTTTATGGTAGTAAAAGTATAAATTAACTTATATCGTCTGCATTAGATACTTAATCTGGATTACTTTTTCATTTCATTTTGATTTTATTGATACATATAATTTTTGTTTGCTGACATTGATAACATTCTCACATACTCATTAATTTCATTCAATACATTTACATAATCATTTTACACAAAACATTACTTAATTTGAACATCAAACAGATTATTTTTTAATCATTTCTCTACAATATAATTTCATAAAGTAATATATAGTAAGATTAATGTTTAAATATGAAAATATTCAATGAGAATTAAGATTCTGAAATACATAATAAATATAAATTTTGTTTAGTCTGTTTATAAAACGAGATATATGTATGAAATGTGTACATTCCAAGTTATTCGATATCTATATAATGTTATTTTTAACGGATATCTAGTATGGAGTACAATGACGACAAAACAGCCTATTGTATAATCTAAATTATGATACAAAAACTATACAAAATGTCTATATAAAAACAACTGAAACAGTTACACTTAATGCTATTTATGTAATATTAAATACTTCTGTGAAGGTAACTATCTCTTCTAGCATGATGTATTGTGGTTTGCCTGTCTTCTGTCTGTCCTAACACTAATGCTTGTCTTGCACTGCACACACTAGGAGGGCATAGAGGTGAGTCCTCAATATATTAACGCCTCTGCTTTATGCTAAAAGTTAGGCAGTATGAACTATGTTCTTTGCATCAAAGATGGCGCTTAGCGGTTAAAAAAAAAGTTGATAACTCTATAACAAACGACCAGTATATTCAAGTAGGTATATAATAATATTAACTACAGTAGTATATGCATAGCATATAAGTTATATAAAAAAATGTGTATTTCTCTCAATTGTCTTGTAATCACAGTAAATGTAAAGGCTTCTTCTTGTTTTGAAAATAGATGGCACTCTGTGAATTGTCTTGGGTTAACACAATGCTTTTTAGTTATTTGACAAATTAATGTATTTAATATATTTAGTATAATAATAGTTTTAAAACTAGAAAGTAGCTGATATTAGATATAATTTTAGGTAATACTATTTTTGTTACACAGTTTTGGCCATACGAAGTAATACATAACGTCTATGTGTTTTATTTTATGAGTACCATTTTTATATAATTGGAATGACAAACAAATACACATAATGCTAATCAGCAATCTTCGGTTATGTACATGGACAGCCCCACGACGTCAGATATTATTGGTACCAGTTATATTTTGCCATTGCGGATGAGTAAAGCTTCCATCATCCTATAATCCTATAATTTCTCTTCCACATCTCAACATCCACCAAATAACAACATACCAAGCTACATAGCGAACTTTTTACAAAGTCTTATATCGCTAATTGTGTAGTTTTGTATGAAATTTAAACACTTCAATTATCTTTAGAAAATAATATATTTTCTAATTGCGTCATACAATCTATATTTATTGCACACAATGAATTCTTATAGTCTAAGAGGTCCGGTGTCCCCATAGACAATATCTGTAGATTATACTATTAAAAGTCATTTTTCACTAAGATTAACACGTTAAATTACACAGTAATTGCCTACCTAATTAATCTAGTTAACTTCTTCTAACAATCTTATATTGTGAGAGTTTAATTTCATGTCTAAACATGCGTTAATCGTTTAATGTCAAAGTTACAAGCTACCTGGATATAAATATCTTAATAATAAACTAGATCTGGAAGCTCCTGTGATAGGGTAATTAACTTGAAAATTGTTTGTAACAAACTTTTAAATAATTAACTTATAGAAGTCAATTAAGATTATACAAACTCTTGACTGTATTAAAATATAATATTAAAAATGTTCAATAATTTACGCCCATCATGAGACTCGTCCGAAGAAGGAAATATTTGTAAAAAAAAATCGTGTTAATACTATTAATTATTAGAAATAATTAATAATTTAATTATTTTCTAATAATTAGATTATTAGAAAATAATTAAAAGAACCGCAATTAAGACAGACATAAAATTTATTTTGTACTTTATCTTAAGTACATGGTTGTGATTTTTAAAGATTTTCGGTTTTAATTTAAATTTATGGTCACCTGCTAATAGGTAACGCTGAGATAAACAGTAAGAATCTAGAGTTAACCGCCCTTTGTGTATAATAGGTACTTAGGAATATAAGTACTATTGCAATACTTCACCTATAACTTTGCACTTGTCATAACTTACTAATGTGATCTTTGTATACACACATTTCTTCTGCGAAGCAACAGAAAATGAAATTACAGGCTATGATATCTCATTCCTTCGGAGAAGCTTGACGTGTACCACTAGCATCGCAGGATAAAGTGATATCTATGATGTTCATGTATATGAGAAACGATTGCCATTCCAGTTACGTAAAAATATTGCAAATAAATAAAAAAAAATCGTTCGCAGTTCTCTGTGACACATAAATTATGTAAATATATTTTTTTAAATCTTTCTATTGTAGTTGTTTGTGTTGTGTCACAAATGATATGACAGATCGATAAAAAGATATCTCTTCTTTTTATCGATCTATCATTTGTTTATCTGTTTGCATATACAATATATTAGGGTTGCCAACCCTAAATTTAAAAAAGTAGGATTTGGACTAGGGAAAACCATGACAATCCATTTTAAAAACTGGACGCAGCAATAAAATTGTTATTAAAGATTATATATTTCTTTTATTTATAAAATATAAAAACGAATTTTGAAATTTTAAGTCTTCCTGGAAATCCCAGGACACTAGAAAAACAAGGACATGTCCTGGGAAAACTGGACGGTTGGCTACAATATACTGTCAATTCGATACCGAATTGAATTCGTCGTCGAGCTTGCATGAATAAATTGATGAATGAGCAGGAAGCGAGTTCTGTTTGTGTCAGAGCGTTTGAAATTCTATTGTTTTTATCTTCCAATATTGATTATTCCATTTTTTTGTAATTCTGTTCCTTTGTAATAATAAGAAGCCTATATTTATGTATTTACTTAAGTTTCATTGCCAATACGCTACTCGAGGGATATCTTAAATATTGTTTTAACAATTGCTTCACATATGTTGGCGGCTCTTAATAACCTTTTTCTTATTACGATTATAATCATTAACTGTTACATTTTCCTTTATAAGGTACTTCTAAGTATTATATATCTATAAGAATTTGTTATTGTTTTAAGTATTTAATAATTTCCATTTTTACACAAATAGGTACAGGAATTTCATCAAGTTTAACGTTATATATGTTTTTATTTTTTAATGTATTTTTATGTTGTTATATATCTTAAAAAAATTACAGTAATATCATTTTGAACATGATAACTTATTTAAAATTTTCTTTGATTATAAAATAGTACCTCTCCTGTAAATAGAGTATTCATATTTTTTTCTGTAATATCTTCAGGGCGCCACCAAACTAACAAAGGATGACATTGAAAGAGTATTCTCGCTATACGATAGGGTAAGTCGACAATAACTTAGTTTGATCCTTTTTTTACTTGGAGAAATCCGGCACTGAGACCCAGCTGATCCAGGGGTAAAGAACGGGTACTACCGGATAAAACCCTAACGTATATCTCTACCGCCTATGTCTGGAGCCACGGTTTTATGTTTGATCATGCTAGTACATTTAAGCAAACATTTTAACTTATAATGTAAGAAAACAGGTAAAGGAAACTTCTCAGACTGATTAACATTTTTGTGTTTTGAAGAGAAATAGTCTTTGTCTTTTCTAATAAAAATAGTTTTAACACCCTACTATTTTCGACAGGATAACAATGGCTCAATTGAAAATGAAGAACTACGGGGATTCTTGAAGGATCTTTTAGAACTTGTAAAAAAGGTAAGTTATCAACTAAATAAATACTTATGCATTTCATTCATTCAGTCATAATTTAAGAGCGACGCTCTTGGCGATTAACCTCTTACCACTTCTACGATCTTCCATCATACTTTTTAAACGTTGATTGGGGACGACTCCTATTCCGTCTTTAATTTGTTTGATACTTATGCAATCTCAGTAATCGTACTAATAGACATTATTATATAAATATTAATATTATTATATAAATATTAATCTCAGTAATCGTACTAATATTATAAATGCCAAAGTTTGTGAGTATGGATGGATGTTTGTTACTGTTTCACGCAAAAAGTACTGAACGGATTTTGATAAAACTTTACAGTAATATAGCTTATACATCGGAATAACATATAGGCTATAATTTAAATAGATATTATGTGAATTGGACGAAATATAATGATAAATGTCAAGTAAGTGTAATGCAGGCGAAGTTGCGCGGGCAGCTAGTAATGAACAAATAGCGATTATTACAGGTCATGTCAACCAGTACCCGACGCGGGCAGTTCGGCGTTGAAAACTCATGTCAACCTAGTAGTTTTATTTTTATTTTTTTGGGGGGTTTAGACTATTGTCAGGTACTAAGACTTGTAACACTGCGATCTGTATAGATCTATTATGCTCGCCCTTATTCAAAGTTTGCTACCTAGACCCTTAAGAATTAAAGAATATTCTTAGAAGCGAACCTACATACATAGTAGTTACATGAGCAGTCAAGTAATCAAGATAAATTATTATAGAAACTATGTACTAATATTTAAATATAAACTATAATTGAGTATCATAATTATTTCCAGGATTACGACGCCCAAGATCTATTAGAATTCGAAGAAACAATACTCCAAGGTGTCGAGTACAGCAGCGATGGGAAGATCAGTAGGAAACAACTTACCATGATACTGTTGGCGCTCGCCAAACACCATCAAGAGGAAGAACCATCGACACCATAAACAATACTGGAAATCGCCGCCACTCCGTCCCGACGTCCGAGCGAATTTTGTAGTGATGCGAAATTGATGAAATTTAGTTTAATCGTTTTTCGTTTTTAAGCAATTTACCCACAACGTTACGGCGCCGTGTCGTAAACGAGTCGTCCGTTCAAATGCGGACAAAAGGTTTAAGAACTAAAGCATTACTCGTAAAGAGTATAACAATTACCGCGAAAGACAAAAATATAGTAAGGTCATGAAAGTTATATAATAATTCGTAGAAAGTTATAAAAATATTTGTGCAAAATGAGCATAAGTTTTAAAAATAATATACTATTTAAGACAAAAGCGAAGTTAAGTTCTACTTTGTCTTTTAGTTCTGTTTCATTGGTATTCCACCTGGTTTTGGCTTGGTATACTCTTTACGAATGTCGCTGTCTACATGAATTTTAAATAGACATGTCCCATGTTATTATGTTTGATAATGTAATAATCTAAAGAGATTATCACAATACGACGCGTTGCCGCAGCGTTGTGTGTGTAATAAACGCATGTCTCAAACGTTTTCACCGTTAGATGTATAAGATTGTATTCTGGCCAGTGTTTTTATAAGCACAGAATACAATGCTAACATTAGAGCAGCTGCTGATTTGTGTACTTATTAAATATATATTTAAAAAAAAGTGTGCTGTTATCTTTGGGTCATTGTTGTAGAAATACAAAATATGAAAAAATGTGCAAATTATGTAATTTTTTTATAGATATTCATCAATTGAAGCCAAATCAAATGCCAAATATTTTAATCTAACGCGTTTACATTTGTAAATCTATTTTCATAAATCGTATAATAGAAATCTATCTACTAGATATACATAGATATCACTAAAGTAATCTCCGCATACATATCATTCCAGCAAATACGATTATCCTAACGAAATTCCGATACTAAATTAAAGTTTTCGTCGCTTCATATTTTAATAACAATATTTTTTTATTTATTTAACTTACATCATTAATATTTTATTAAATTATGATGTTAAATTAACTACCAATAAATTTTTTGAATTAAGTATCCAAGAATTTTAACTAACTAAGATAATCTAATTTCTAAAACATTCTATAAATTCTAGACGGCGTAATGTCTCTAAACAGAAAATCAAATTAAATGTATACTAATCATATCATTCATTGAAATAGCTACATATAGTGATTATAATATAAATCTATATAATAGTAATTTATATATTTGGAGAAATACAAGTACAAAATTAGATCAAAAAATTAATTAATAATTACATCTTAAGCGATCTACACACTACACTAAAATCAAGGGCAATATGAGACGTTTCCTGAGAGCCTTATGTGTAATGAATTCCATTAAAGTACCCGTCAACTCGATTTTACCCCCACCACCGATGCTCTGAAATTGCACCTGATTATAGTATCGTGTGTAGGTCGTTTTACAAATTAAAGTTTCTAATATTTTTACAGACCTATTACGATACAGACCATTAAGGTCTGTATGCTTGCGCAACAACATCCAAATTAAATGTTGCAACAAAAAAAAATACTTGATGTAGCTTAAACTTTATGTTGTTTGCTTAATTATTGTGTCTATAATTAATAAATAAATGGAGTAGAATTTGCACGATTCATTCCATCTAGAAGATTTTGTTGTTGTTGCATGTTTATCTTTTAAATTAGGAACTCTTTAACTTTTACTTTTACATTACATGCAACTACAATTTTTTTAAATACTCTTCGCCATCTATGCCTACTAAGAAATTGGCGGGAAAATCTCACATTCAGCAAGTTTAAAATTTTGTGGAGACCATAGACATGAAAGTCGTTAATACATAGAATGGGTATTTTTTAAATTAAAAACTGTATTACCATTGCATAATTAACGTGCGTCATAGAGTAAGTAACACTATATTAAAAACATCTGTTAATTAAATGTTAATAATTTAATGTCTATATCTCAGTACCGAGAACTTGGTGTTAAAAATTTAATTTTAGATTATGAATGTACCTAGATCTGTTTTGCAATTTATGTTATAGCTGTGACTATTACTCGTATTATCTATGTTTTAGAAAGATTTGATGTTGATTGTTTATTAAATGTTTATCTAGGTGTGTAATTTTAGAGCTCTAATAAAAAGATGTCTTTTGAATACTATTACACGCATTCCGTATAATTAAGATTGCATTATCTATCCAATTTAAAATAAAAATTAACTATAAATTATATTAGAGGTATGCCGTGGCGTCTCTGATATTGTTACTTCTTTAGACAGTGGTTTCCACTATCCATGTCCAAAAGACCGTCAACTTTACCTTTGCTTATGATAATTTGATTTGATCAAAACCTAAAAAAATACTTCTGTAATGTTTTAGTCGTTTTTTGGTCTTTGCCATTGGTCGCCATTTTTGATAGTTAATAATTACAAATAGCAACATCTGTCGAAATGAGATTGTAAATAACTGAAACTTTAAATAACTTAATCTTGTTAAAACGTTGTAATTTTAAAAAAGCATGAATAAAATATTTTTCCCACTTTCTTACAAAAATGGCGGCAAATAGAAGTGAGTGGAAATGTGTTATCACAAATCTCGGAATGATGTTTTTTGGATGCATGAAACCGAATGTATTTTCGTAAAAAACTTACAGATTACAAAATACATGCACAAAAAATGAAACTGATGTACCTATACTACAATTAAGAAATAAAAATATTATATTAATAGAATATTAAATTGTATAATATTTTCTGTGTATACCGAAACGCATATAGTAATCATTCCTTACATGAATTTCAAAGGAAAAATCTACTCAACTAATTAATACACTCTGATAATAATTTGTATTCCACGTCTGGTCGTCTCGGCTGCCTTGAACAGAAAAGACAGTTTTTTTTTGGGCTACTCTAATACTATTGACCGCAGCTGGGCTTCACAGCTTCACCGGATGATAGGAGGCGAGTCCAGATGGCACTCCAAACCTGCGCAAGGAAGGTAAGGTAATTACGATCCCCGTTTGAATTGGATGTGGGACCGCTTTTCTCCTTCCAATCTTTATGCCGTATGCGTTATTGGTGGGGGCACGGAAATGGCGCCACTAATATCGCGGGAAATCACAAATTAGTCAAATGAGTATTCTAAATTTATATATAGAAGCTAACTCTATGAATCACAGTTGCTAAAAGTATCGATATTATATATTGTGATCCTAATAACAAAATTATAACATAAACAATTTCATAGAATATTCTCTTGTCTACCTAACTTCAAGTTTTCATTATGAGTATTTATTCGTGTAAACTATTGTCTTGCATATTATTTACCAACCAAACTCAGCAAAACAATTTGAACATACATCATACTCAGAAATATATGCACAAAATACGCGCGAAAACATCGCGCTGTGACAATTTATTTTTTTATTGTCTATGCTGAACTAAACTCCAATCGTCAAGGAATAAAACTATGTAAATCATTTAAAAATAGAATATAAAGGAGATAACTTATTCCTCTAGCATACTAAAAAAATCTATTCTGTCATTAATATAATACACATATTTATTGTGGAAAGCCTTTATTTTGTATAGTTTTGATATAAAATGTCAAAATATGTAGGTAATTGATTATACTAAATAATGTGATTATAGAGAAGGAGGACAAATAATCGTTTTAATTTATTAACATAAAAATCTTAATGAATATTTTTATTACGTTTAACAGTAATATTTATGTTACCATGAGATAATTCGTAATGCGAATTTATGGCGTTTTCGGCTTAGCGATAAACTATGAGCATTGTGAATAAAACTGCTCACTAATAATTCGTTGTATAGGTACGTGTAATATACCATACTTACCATAGATACGCTGGAAATATTCGCGCCAAAATTATAATTCAAATAAAATGGCACCAAAAAAAATCTTAATGTGAAATAAACTCTCACAGTACCTTGTAATTAATTTGTGTTACCATATAGTTACTAATTGATTTAGTACCTCTAATAACCTGTATGTATTTTTACCATTGCCTGGCACTAAATGTTATTACTAAAGTTGAATACAATTATATTTGTTATAAAATGTTTATATTTGTATAATGTGTTTTATTTTACTTATAATAAATATCCAATGTAATGATTGCTCAATATAAATAATCCATTAATCACATATCCACAGGCATAACAATATAATAAGTATTGCCAAAACCAAAAACCAAAAAAATATGTAATAGGAATGGATAATGAAACGATGCCCTGTCCTAAGCTGTCAAGTGAGGTTGATATGTCATCCTGAGCATGAAGACAAATTACTTAACCCATCGTGACGTATTCACCAGAAATTTACCACAATAGTTTCCAAAACATCTATCTGAAATGATATACTGTTATGCAATCTCCTACTCCCCTCCCCATCCAGTTAAATGGTGACCACCTTAAGATCTACAGCCATGTGGTCCATATGACCATTAATTCCTGATGACTTCATCCAAGCACCCGACTGGGGTTCTGAAGACATACATCATTAGCACACAGACACATTTTTAGAATGAAAATAATATGTACCTAATATATATTATCCATAAGTTGTTGCCAGTGCCGGCTAACTGATGGAATAGAATCTTTATTCGTATTAATTTTACATAGCCCACAGACACTTTTGAATAATCACAATTATATCTATATCTATACATATAAATAAAATTGGAGTGTCTGTTTGTAATATTGAATATAAATACGGTACATACACCAAAATAATATTTTTACAATTTTTGTCTGTCTGTTTGTTCCGGCTAATCTCTGAAATGGCAGGACCGGTTTTGACGGGACTTTTTTTTGGCAGGTAGCTAATGTAATAAGGAGTAACTTAAGCTACTTTTATTTTAGAAAAATAAAGTTTAATTCCACGCGGCTGAAGTCGCAGGTACAGCAGGTAGTTTATAATATAAATGTAGGGGTTTGAGTTTACCACCACATTAGTTTTTAAATAAATATACATAACTTTAATGTAATGTAATTAATAATACAGAAACTATTATATAAAACAACAGCTAATTTAGTTTCAAAGAAAACATTCCACGGTATTCAATAATACGGCCCAATTTTTAAACTAATGTAATATATAGCCGTTTTTCGGCTGTGCCGAAAACCTAATACAAAGTTGGCAACACTGAAATCGCCATTGCATGCAGATTTTCTTGCTGTGTAGCGTGCATTCGGATTATTTTTTTGAAATCTTATTTTGTAAATAAATTCGCATACAAGTCATGGGTGTCAACGTTGAGACAATTTCTCCTGGCGATGGTAAGCTACAATTTTTTGTTCTTGTCGAATGCCTAAATTAGTTTCATCGTGCCTCATTATTTAGTCGAAAAATAGTAAATTTCCACGCTAATTTCTATTAATATATTTTTAAATGTATTTTTTAATATTTCTCTAATGCAGCAGTAAATTATAAATAAATATATAACAATATTAATAACTTAACCTAAACCGCGCTAAATTTCCTTTGCCCGGCACAACGACGCCTCGCTAGTTAAAAGACGCCATCCGTAATTCAAATGCAAATATCAATGACTAGTCATTTTGACTTTATTTAATTAAGTGCATAATCACTTTAATTCGAAATGTCGATTCTAAAACGTAATTCGCAAAAATTGTATGGAGTAAAAACTTATATTTTAGGTAGGTATTGTAGTATAGCGGAATTATGTGTATGGAACACATGATACCGCCATAGCATAAACCTAGTACTTGTAGCGGCTGCAACATTGATTTTACCTAGTAGACCACACCCAATGCTTCACCTAGATATTACTAAGTTACTGTGTAAACACTTGAATACTTTTTTACAAGTATTGATTTATGGTGTAAAATTAAAAAAATATTCATTACAATTTTTTTTTTAGATTATTTATTAAACTACTATAGCATTGTTTATGGTATGATTTATTTCCCTAATTTCCAGTTACATTATAGAGAATGTTGTATTAGAAATAGGTTTTAATACTTCTTGAAGATTAAAATATAAATTGATTCATATTAGCATAATATTAGCTTTAGAATATGTTGTGAATCATAAAAACAAAAAGGTCTGTACAGGGGTAGAATGGGGATTGTTAGTAATATAGACGGATGATCTCATTGCTAGCAATGTACCATGTCATGTTGACTCCATGCCTCCATCCATGGTTCCTCCTAGAAACCATCATGATAAATACCTGGTGAATTTGTCATGATGGGCTAACTGACCTGACATCATATGAAACTCATCATTTTCCACTGGGGTCCCACCAGCACAGACCATCAGTGCAGACGGGTGCACCATTCCATTATCATCCATTAAAAATAAAAAGATCTGTATATTTTTTTATCCTTTATGTATTTGGACTGGCAGAATGGAAAGTGATCATAGATTATTGTCAATATCGAGATAGGTGATGTCTAATAGATTTAAACAGCACTATCATGTCATTATTTCACACCCCATAGGGTACCATTCCAGGGAACAGTGTGATTTCCTTCACTGTTTTGTCTCAGTGCATACATGGCTCTATTTCACCCTTTAATGGACTCACAGCTTACAAAATATCTGATTGGTAGCTGAACAGAGACTGAGGTACTTTAATACATTATTGATTTTGATGAGATGAAATGTATAATTGAATTTCAGAGTCAACATACCCAAAGACTGGGCAGACTGTGGTGGTCCACTACACCGGGACACTGACAAATGGACAGAAGTTTGACTCATCGCGCGACCGTGGCAAGCCCTTCAAATTCAGGATTGGCAAAGGAGAGGTCATCAGAGGCTGGGATGAGGGTGTTGCTAAGGTATATACCTAATGTTCCTTACATCCAGTAATGCTGTAAAGTTACAGGGGACAGAAAAAAAATCCAATATTCTTGTTAATAGAATGTAGTACTTACTTACACTGATGAAGGGGTGGATGTAGTGTGATACAGTGACAAGGGATGGGCTATGTCATAAATTTCATGATGTCACATTTTAAATTGTGCATTTAATTAATAATTATATTAATTGGAAATAAACCTAGGTTTATTTTTTAATTGAATCATTTCCATATGTAAAACTGACAGGCTAATGGAAGTAAAAATGTTAAATTAAGGATAAGTCTTATAACTAAATCTAATTCTATCTCTAAGACTAATCATACTCTGTAATACACTCATTTTATTATTATATATGAAAACTGAAAGAAGTGTATATATTATGCTCTTGTTAATGAGTTAGAATGTTTTTAGAAATCTCTGTGCATTTGCACCTACCCTTATAACAGAAGCGGATAGATACAAACTTTTTTAGGTTACTAGAGTGGAAATATGTATCTATGAATGCACTAGTTTATAGGACATTTTTTTGTTTCAAGCATTTCCAAATTATTCTATCACTGTTCTTACTATAGTTGAGTTATCAATTCAATTGATTTTTCCTTTTAAATCAGTCTATGAATTTACTCTCTTATTGCAGATGTCGGTTGGAGAGCGTGCAAAGTTGACATGCTCCCCTGACTACGCGTACGGCCAGCAGGGTCACCCTGGTGTCATCCCACCAAATTCCACCCTCATCTTCGATGTGGAGCTCATCCGCCTTGAATAAATAATCTCTCCAACACCATCTCTATCATTCATTAGACATGTTTTAACTAAGCCTTAGTAAATGGAAAATAAGAAATCTAAATATTGTATGACTGTACTTAGACATTCTACATGAGGAAACTATGTACCTGGTATTGTCTATAGCCACACAGGTTTAATTGAACATAGTCAATTAAGATATTTTAATATTTCTTATTCTTTTCACTTTTATCTGTGGTTAAAGAATTTTTTAACACCCACATTTTTGCCCCAAGATATTTACTGCTCAAATTCATAAATGTCATTGAATAATTATAGAAAAGTAGATTATCCTGCATGTTCAATAACATCACCATAGTGCATAAATTTATCAATTAATGTATGGCTTAATCATTTAAGTTACACTTTATAATATTTTTAAGAATGTTGCCAGTAAAACGTACAAAGTAATTATTAATGACAACTGTAATTCATATTTTTTAAACGGGCCACTAATATAACATTCCAATTGCATTTACAATTTGTATGATGTATTAAAATGTATTCCTTTGTAAGTTTATGCAATTTAGCATGATATTCTATATATTGGTCAACCATTTAATAATTATTTGAAATAATTTATGGTATATAAAATGTGATCATTGTGCAATCTGAGAGTGTTAAGTCGCATTTATGTCTTGGGTTAATAAAAATAGACTACAAAGTTGTTTGGCACAAATTTTACATCCATTTCAGAATGAAAAATCCTATATAGGTGGTATGTCTTTAGTCTGGAAATTTGTGCCGAGTATTTCGTAGCAACACCGAATAATTATGGCAGTACAGTACTTTAATCATACGGGGTTAAGTTATAAAATAGATATACAATGGTATTAAATTTCATGATATACTATGTAGGTAGACCTTACCTAGTAGTCATTTTAATTGTGTAAATAATAGTGTCCTGCAACTATGAACTCGTCTGGACTTTCTGAATCTATTCATTGTATTTCTTAAAACCAATAAGCTTTATCATACGTACATTAAAATTAAGAAATAAACTTTATCGTCAGATAAATATTGTTTTATTATAGTTTCCTAAATATACGGCTATGGAGGAAAGGATATTAGTAATGTGACTTATTACTCCATAGCTAGCACAGTACCATGTCAGGTTGAACTCCACTAGATTGCCCCAGGAAATCATCGTGATAAATTCCATGTGAATTTGTCATGATGAGCTAACTCACCTGACCTTATGGTCATATTGTATACACTGATACCCCATAGGCGTAAACCAATCAACATCAATTAAAAAAAATGCCACTCCTACCATAATTATTCTTTATTTAATTTTGTTTCTAATTTCTATGTGCCGTAGTCATTACCATAAAGTAAGTCACAGCTTTACTACTGTACCTAATTATAAAACAATGTTATACAAGATTACTAATTTTGTTAAAATTAAACCATTAGTACGAAAGGAACACATTTTTTTTTACATTTGTCCTCAGTAAGTTTTAATATACATATACTTGAAAAAAAAAACATAGTTTATACATATTAAACCTTCCTCTTGAATCTACTGCTAAAAACTGCATTACTATACGTTGCGTAATTCAAAAGGTCTAAGCGAATACACGACGGAAACTACTTCATTTTATATTATGTACTAGCTGTACCCGCGACTTCGTCCGCGTGGAATTTAACATTATTTTCTAAAATAAAGGTAGCCTAAGTTACTCCATATTACATCACCTACCTACCAATAAAAGTCCCGTCGAAATCAGTCCAGACAATTTTATTAATCTAAGTAAATCTAGTTAAAGCTTGTTTTATGGGTACAAGATAACTGATACAAATACATAGAAAATTTCGTAAATACATACATATTACACATGGAAAACACCCAGACCGATACAAACAATCATACTCTTGAGTACAAATTACTTCAATAAAATTATACCATGATATGACCAGTTTTGGCGCAATATATAAATGTAAGTTCGCAAATACGTGAATAATAATATTCAGAAAGAACTTTTAGGTTGAGGGGAAAGGGATAAAATGTTAAAAAGAGGGTTGATCAACGCCTTTTTTTCAAAATAACTCTATAACAATAAGAAATATGTAAGAATGTTTTAAATAAAAATTGTAGAGAAAAAAAATCAGCACAAAACTGATCCTCTTCATTTTTTCATTATTTGCTATTGTTTAGCCACAAAAAAATGTTTGTGCCGTGCGAGGAATCCATGAAAACCATGTATATATGTAGGTATACTTAGCTTTATAAGGATATCGGGAGTAGTCTCTGCATTTACTGAACCGATTACGAAAATTCTTTTACCAATAGAAAATCCCGTTATTTGTTAGTGCCAAATTAAAGCAGAAAATCAAAATCTACTAGTTTTCAAAGTCTGGGAATAAAACGATCAAACAGAAATGTTTCGTACGAAGGTTGCCTGAAAAAATCATAGTAGGTACTCAGTACTAACCGATGTTTACTGCCCAAAGTAGACACGGGTCATCTAGTTAGCTCATTTATTTAATAAAGAAAAAACAAAGATTATTTTTAATAAAGTATTTATTCATCATCATATCTTCTCGCATCTAATTTAATTTTTAAAGATTCATATTTTTAAATATTATAAACTCAAATACAAACGTCTTTTATTTTTAACTTAAAAATATCTTCTCTTATTCCTCTACAACTATTTTTGCACCAGAAATGCATTTTTACAAAGCAGTAAACAAAATACTTCTTTCACTTACTTGACAATCTCCAATTCCGAAATAGGTACTTAGAGAATTATCACCTACGTTTATTACGTTACACATATATATATATATATATAATTTGAAAAAACTGATTAAATAATATTGAATTGTTCCTGTTCAAAATACAATAAAAAAAATCTTATTTACTGTTTGGGAAACGAGTTTATTGCAAAACCGTAAACGTAATATGCCCTCTTTATAAAAAATATCAAATCATTTTGCTAACCGTGTAGAAAAAATATGCCTCAATGGAGGCGATTCGATAGAAACATTTTATTACGTGCTAATCGAATCGGTACTAGAGTACCATGACATTTTAATGCCCGGTAATCAAAATCACCAGCATAATAATTATATACAATATAATAGTATTCGTTCCCAACATATGCTCTAGATTTAGTAAGAAAGTACAAGTTATTATTCAGTAGTAATACGAAATTCAGTGAGGAATTGCGCCAGCAACAATACTATATTTACATGCTGGTAGGCTCTGGTAGGTACCTCAATATTTTTTCTGGCAGCTTGGTATATTATGTACGACTGATCTTGTATATCTATTAAATTTCAACATCCAGCTAAAAAATTCATGATATAAAAATTGGCAGTGTAATCTAGATTAATATAAAAAAAATTGGGCTAAATTGTACTAGCAGTTTACACCACACCACAGTTAGTGCCATAATTAGTGACAGAGTTTTTAGTTACAAATTTTTATGTTAATTATAATTACATTTGAAATAGTTCTTAGTCTGTTTTTTATCGCGGTGACAAATTTTACATTATCTATGTTGCCAGCATTGTTGCGATTCTTAACTAGTGTTGTGGCACAATCGGAAATTATTATTCATTAGCTATTTATATCCGTTTTACACATTTTGAAAATATGTTGTGAAAACTATGCAGAATCTTATAAAACTAATGGTCTAAAACAAAAAAAATACGATTCAAGAAATCAGTATCCCAGGTACAGACGATAATATTATTGGGAGAATTTGACATTTACACCTGTCAATTTAGTCTACGAGATTAAAAAACAGACTATAAGTGTATATATCCACGTTCATTGGGACACTATTAGGCAACTTCGAAACAAAATTATTTCATACATAATAAACAACATTTGATTATAAATATTCGAAATTGCAAATATGATACTGTTACCAAAATCTAAGTTTTCAATATATTAACAATATGAAATATCTAGTAGTATACATTTTTACAAGTACTTAGGTATATAGCTACCAATGCAAAATCAAAACTGTTAATTTTTCAATATATGTGTATATATACATACTAGCTGTCACGGCAAACGTTTTGCCATATAAATTAATATCGCTATTAAAAATAAGGGTTGATGGTAGAAGGGTGAAAATTTTGCGTTTCATGTATTGTTTCATTACTAAATAATAATAAAATAAAAATAAACAATACAACAACAAAAAAATATTTAGGGGTGCACCTTTATCATGGCCGACTCTTAGACCTAACCGATATGCACACAAAATTAAATCAAAACAAAGGACAGTTTTGGAGGAGTTTGCTAACAAACACTTTATATATTAAATGAATATAACAGAAGTCAGTGGAATAAAAAAAATTACATGTACAGCTCATGCAAATGACCTGTGTACACTGATTGAAGGCGTTAACGCACATATTAAGCCTTAATTTGAATGAGTATAAAAAACATTATACATATTAATTTATATAAATTAACATTAAAAAAATAGAATCAATTCTTAATGACTTTTCACGAACACTTTGAACGTTCATATTAAGACTGGATAAGTATTTCAGGTCCGTACAGCAAATATTCGAATAGCCATAATGTAATTACACATCTTTATCTATACATATAAATAAAATTGGAGTGTCTTCTTGACTGTTTTTTGCTACATAAATATGTCTGTTTGTTCCGGCTAATCTAAGAAATGGCTGAACAGATTTAGACGGGACTTTTTTTGGCAGATTGCTGATGTAACAAGGTGTAACTTAGGCTACTTTTATTTTAGAAAATTAAGAATTCCACGTGGACGAAGTCGCGGTAGCAGCTAGTATACAATAAAATAGTAACAAGGCATACACTGTATGCGTGTGTTGACGATTGACGTAAAAATGACTGGAAGAATTATAATGAAATTTTTACAGAACATGTTGCAACATGTTCTGTAAAATTAATATATGTTGCAAGATACATGTCAACAGATTCGCTAAAGTAATAATTTTGTAAAAATTTCCAATACTGAAATTTTAGTAATTATTTAATTGTTCAAATAATATATAGAGTTGTCTAGGATTATTTATTGTTGTCGGTTGATCACAATCAATAGATGATCTACAAATGGACGCGCGAAGTAGGGGGCACACTAGTATTAAACAAAGTAAGTACTTGGTTTTGATAGTTCTCGCTCCTCATTCTTAAACAAAAGTACAAAGTGAACAAAATTTGTTAGCTGGCATTGCAAATTAATTATAGGAAAAACATAATTTGTGACCAGTATTCGCATATTCATACTGTTAAATATCATTATATTCATGCCACATGTGGTAAATTAAACTTCAGTCCCATTGTCATAGTTTGCAGTGCAGGCGCAACCTTACTTATAATCAATCGGACATCTTTTTACTTGTACAAAACAAATAGATTTTATATATTCTTATAACCTAAGTACGATACGGTACTCTTTATACTAATATTTAACAGTCATACTGAAAACATTAAGGAACATAATGTAAAATATTGTTACAAAGTATTTTTTGTAATTATAGTAGATTTTCTTTAAAATCTATTATCTCTAAATGTCATAATTACATTTTAAATGTTACACTTAACAAGATGTAGCTTATAATGAAGTCGGGTCGCTCCATGATAGATGTCAAAGTTGTGACTATATAAAAATATGTAGAAAAAATTAATTATTTGAGATGTAAACATTGCGTTACTTACTACTGAAATTTTTGTGCCCTTTATTCTTCAGCATTGATTAAATGAAAATATTAATTCCACTATTTTGAAAAGTAAATCAATAACACTGAAATTGTCCACGATTTTTATATCACAAAATTCTTAATTTATGAATTTGGTAATGGCTTTAAAGGGCCCAGACTTAGCAGTCCATCTGCGCCGAGCGCTTGCAAATTATTGCTTATACCATTGTGAACGGATACGACCGGAATACCAAAGCATCCACTCGCTTGTTCTCTATTCGCCAACGGAATAAAACTATAAATACCTAAACTACTTAGCCGTTTTAAATTTTCTTCTTGCGAAAGATCTACAACTGGCAATCCTAATTCTCTATTGGGACCAGACACATTGTGGAACACCCTTTTATGGTGCTGTAGTTGTAATGATTTCGGGTACGACGCTGGGCATTCGTCGCATTTGAACATAGGTATTTTACTTTGTGGATGAGCGTTCGACATATGAACCTGTAATGAGTTCTGATTCATGAACATCTTTTTGCAAATTCTACACGATAACATACCCCCACCAACCTTTGCTTCTGGTATTGAGAAACTACTTGATTTTGACGTGTGTTTAATACTAACGCCTGCTCCAAGATTCGGTATATGCGGTAATGGTCTCTCAGGACTTGGGGAGCGACTCTTCTGTTTCGCTTTCACACTTATACCTCGAGATGCTAACACGTTGGCCATAGCGCTCGCCTCTTTATTCACAGTCTTCTTGGTTATAGATATTTGACTACCAAGATTCAATTTGTCTTTAGCACCCTGCACACTGTGAATCATGGGAAGACCCTCGCGTTGCTTCTGCATCGCCATTACTTGACAATCTTCATTGTCGTGTTTGCCAGGCAACAACATATCAGGTCGTCGCTTCTGACCGGGGCCGGCCATCATTCCTCCAGGGCGTTTTATTGGCATGCGTGTTCCTCCAGGTTTTCCACCACGAACTTGTCCGTGAACTTGTATTCCTGGTCTTATTGATGGCCGCGCGCCTCTTACGTTAGGCATTCTAGGTCTAGATCCTGCCACTGTAGCTCCAGGTGCCATTCTTATTTGACTAGGTGACGGCATCTGACCTCCGACTACTTGGCCAGGTGCATTCGCTTGTAGTCCTAATTCCTGCCCTGGACCACCAGGCGTTCCTACTAATTGACCAGGAGCAAAAGTTTGCACATTCTGTATCCTAACGCCACTACTTGGTGGTTTCATTGTGCCACTGGGACTTGAAGAAGGTACATATTGATTAGGCGTAGATCCAGGTGGTCCCATTTGACCCATAGCCTGCTGTGTATTCATCATACCAGCTGAATTTGGCCCATAAGCCTGTTGCATACTTTGGAGGGGAGAAGCGTTAGGATATTGCGACGATCCTGGTGAAAACGAATTCTGCGTTCCAGGATAAATACCTGACTTTGACATTGGCGGCTGCTGAAATTGATTATAACTTTGCTGTCCCATGTAATGACTAGGATACTGACCAGGCATTGTTTGTCCTGGAGCACTATACATATTATTTGATGTTGGTGGAAAACCAGAATGCATATTTTGTCCAGCTTGTGGGTAAGCATTATAAGGTTGCGGAGGCACCATGCCACCAGCACCTGGATATGCCTGAATATTAATCATTACATTTTGTTGATGTGTGAAACCTGGTCCGCCTCCCATTCCAGACAATTTTCCAACTTGTTCTGCTAATTGCTTAACTGGAAGTAAACTTTGAAGAATGTTTGAGTTGGGAGTATAGGGCATAAGTGATGATGAAGATGGCGCAACAATACTCTTAGAGTGCCCTGTCATGCGTCTGTGTTCATCTAACAGAGATATATCAGTAAACCTAGTATTGCAAATTTCACAAGTATGTTGTGGGCCTAATGTATCTATAGATATGTACTCACTTGCATCTGATAAAGAGAGGTTTTCTTTCTTTGTTGCGGTTGATAGCAGGCTTTCAAATATATCATCAGTACTTTTTTCTAACATGTCAAGAGGTGGTTTTGAATCTGGTGCATTCCAATTAAAGTTATGCTGTTTTTCAGTTGAAGGATTACTGGAGGTTAATCGTCCTGATAGAACAGGGGTATAGCCAGATTGTGTAGAACTAGGATAAGCGGGCGGTGGATAAGACTGTGCAGGATTTTCAGTTTTAGGAACGATAGGCTTAACGTCAGGTGCTGGTGTCGCAGATACCACACAACAATCATCATCTTCGTCATTTGAATCACCATTTATTTCTATAATAGTCATTTCATTGTCATTTTCTTTCTTAGTGACCGGTAAGAGAGGTATTGCAGGTGTAGATAAAGTAGAGTTTCCATTGTTAAGAAGCGGTTGACTACTAGAAACAACTCCAGAATCTGGTTCACTTTTAATTTTGGCTATTATTGGTGTTGACGTATTATTATCATTTAGTGGTGGAGTGGTTCTTTCTGATTTTATTTGAGTTGAGAATAAAGGCATACTCGAATTCTGCGTTTCCGCACTGCCAACCTCCTGTTTAACAACAACATTGTCCATATTTACGTCATGAGATTGACGTCGTTCTGGTGTAGATCCAACTGATGATGATGATGTTGACGTCTCTTTCTGAGGTTGGGAGACTTCTCTAGATGTAAGTGGAAGATTAGCACCTCTTTTAGGTGTCTGTTTTATTGCAGGTCTTCCTGGTTGTTTTACTTGTATCGGTGCAACTTCAGGTGTGTTTGAACCAGCGCCTTGTATAGAATTTCTAACAGGTTCTGCTTTTTGTCCTATTGGTTTGCCTTGAAGATTTTTAAGTGTTGTAGCTACCTTATTTTTCAACGCCGTTTTTCCAGGACTGTCATTATCTTCATCAGCTGAGTCTTGTTCAGGACCAGAAGCATCCTGATCTCCCAACTTATCTTGGTCGTCGTCAAACTCACCTTCTTGATCATCTTCTTGGTTACCTTCATTACCACTGCCTTCGTCTTCTTCATCAGATGCTTTAAAATCCTTTAAACCATTGACTACTTTAAAAGAATTAGTATTGCTGCCGTCAGATTTAAGTTTAAGTTTAATTCCGCCAAGTTTCCCTAGCTTTTGCATAACATCATTACTATTCTGATCTTCTGGTTCTTTCTTTATCGGCGTGTTATTCTTCTTTATCGTGAAACCTAAACCACTTAATTTAGTTAAGGCAGAATCAGAACTTTTTACTTCAGTTTCAGGTGGTTTCTTTAGTGAAATGCCTTTATTTTTGAGTATTTGTGAGATATCTATTTTTTGTGGCGTCGTTTTCGGACCAACTTTGGGCGGCGAAGACGGCTCTTCTTCATCAGACCAATTTTCATCTCCGGATGGAGTGATATCTTCGTCGTCCGACGGCAGCTTGTCAATCACCACTGAGGGCAGCGACACGTGTTGTATAAGATGATTTTCTAGATCTTCCCAATCAGGGAAATCTTCTTCACAGGTGTGACACGTGTACTCTTGTTTCGGTTTCTTGATAAGAGCTCCTGAAGATTGCAGGCGTTTTAATATATTCGCAACATTATCAATTGGAGGCTTTATATCTTCTTTCTCCTGTTCGTCTTCTACTGAATCATCTTGTGGGTCATCATCTCCATCTGAAACATTAACAAGGAAATATTGAGTACAAAATGCAACTTTAATACTATAAATCAATGAAATGTTATATGTCCCATGATTTATTATAAACTGAGAAAACACATTATTTTCCTATAATAATTAATGAATTGATAAATGTATGAAATAATTTAAAACCAAATAATTGAAATAATAATTTTAAAATGTATGAAATATTAATATTAAATTATTATTTTTATATTTTTTTTTATTTTTTTTAAATTCCGTTCACTTTTTCACCCTATGCTATAACTCATGTCTATCTGCCAATATGACCATTCATCTACTAATGAAAGCAAATATGAGACCCTTTTTATAAATGTCAACCCATCTAATCTCAAATAAATATATACACTAAAAGCTCCTTATTCGCGGATTACAAAAATATGACCCAATTCCTATATTCACGGCTAAAAATTTTAATTATTCGCAGATCTAATAAGTACATACATAATAATAAAAGGATTCCAATAGGTATTGAACCCAATATCCTCTGTAAATGCCGTCAGATGGACTAATAAAACAAGAAAAATAGATCTTATTAGAACTTTGCCTAAAGTATGTCGTTAAATGATATCGCCAAGGGCTTTTGCTTAAGTCGCCTACGCCGTGATGGGTGTTTTTAAGAATGTAAACAAACATAATGAATGTGTATCTGCATATCAGTCTTAATTGTATGAGCTTTTAAAAACTGCTAAGCAAGAGAAAACTACAATTCATCATATATTTATTTTTTTTGGTACCTAGGAATGTTTCCCTTATAATCCCATATAAATTACCATTCTGTATTCACGGTTTCTGTTTTCGCTGTATATTAATGGAACATATAGAGCTGTAACTGTATTACTTTATCATCTCTTCTTACTTTTTAACTTTATCACACTTTCAATTTTGTTTATATTTTACATAGTGATTTAATAAGTCAAACTTAAACTCATATGATACTTGTAATATATGCTAAAATAATATAGTTAATATAGTTGTCATAACACTAGTACATAGTATACAACAATGTACTAATTCCCTCTCTTCTCTTCTATTTGTGTTTCCATTAAAAATTAGTAATGCATATGTAAATTCACGCTGCCTAATGTAAAACAAGTAAATACGCAGCTATTGCTTAATGATGAAATAGTAAATTTTGTTAATGATACAGTTTTTTTAGGAATAACAGTGGACTCGAAGTTACAATGGGGGCCCCATATTTCAAAATTAGCCAGTAGACTTAGTTCTGCTGCTTATGCAATTAGAAGGATAAGGCAATTAACAGACGTGGCGACGGCAAAACTTGTATATTTTAGTTATTTCCATAGCATTATGTCATATGGCATACTGCTATGGGGTCTGCCGATATAAATACTATATTTATTTTACAAAAGAGAGCCATACGTTCTATTTATGGTATGGGTTCTAGAGAGTCATTACGTCAATGCTTTAAACAATCAAATATCCTCACCGTTGCCTCTCAGTACATTTATGAAAATATTATGTATACAAGGAAAAACTTAGATAGTTTCAAGAAACTTAAAGACTGTACAAGTAGAAACTTACGCAATAAAAATAAGCTAATTTTACCTAAATGCCGTCTACACAAAGTTAGTAATTCATTTTATGGTAATTGCGTAAGATTCTATAATAAACTGCCAGAGTCTACGCTAAATCTTACAGAGAGGCAATTCAAATCTTATATTAAACAAATGTTATGTAAAAAAGCCTATTATAAGATAGATGAATTTATAGATGATAGCAATATATAGCAAGAATAAGTTTATTTGCGGACAACGTTATAATTTTAATTTTCATACTGCTTTCTTGATATATGATAGCGTAGCGGCTTTTGTATTGATTGCCGCATGCATCCTTATGTAAAGTGCGAATACTGTAACTACCATATAGTAATTTTTGTAGCTGTGACGTGGTCGTGTGGAATGAGTAGTCATGCTCACTAAAATGTCCAGACATGTGGCGGCGTGGTGGGCCGGGTCAATGGGCTCCCTAAAATATGGTCGAGCGCAGTGATGGCTGGCTCATCCGTCATACTCGTGAACGAGTGCTGCTTGTAGGGACTGGTCTGCTCTTATCACTACGACTGATTTAATCTTATTGCAAGATTATATTTGACCCAAAAAATTAGTGCTTGTTGGTAGTTTGTATTCACACGTTTCGACTTGTAAATGTCAACTTACAAGGATTATTTAAAAGAGCAACACACAAGTTTCTTGCTCGTTCTTCTTGTGATGAGACAGCTTTCCGAACGAGTGGTAGATAAAAAACAAATTGTTATGACTATTCAAAAGTGCTTAAATTAAGTTTATTTGAATAAATGATTTTCTATTCTATTCTATTCTATTCTAAAAATTAGGATGAAATCTTTACAAAATATTTCTGGTCAATATAATGAATAAAAATATGTGACTGGTCAGTATACAGAATAGTGAACATACAAAATCCCACAAAGAGTTAAAGTGATTGTTTTGTTAATATTTCATCTATTGTATTCATTTATTTATGATTGAAAACAGAATGAATCAAGAAATTTCACATAAATACATGTACATTTTAATAAAGTAAAACATATATGTATAAAGTGTTTGGTCCACTGTCAGATGTTATTTGTCTGGATTCTGTTATTCAATAAAATGATGCAGAAAACGTATGAAAGAAATAACCAAAATCACTTTTGTATTTGTAATATTAGAATAAAGATATTAAGAAAAAAATGTCCTATCCTGTTGATGATGACATATAAGAATAATATAATAATCTCAAGACAATTCACAGCGCAATCTAGACCTAAGTTAAGATAGCTAAAGCTAGTGTTATGGCTTGACATCTGATAGAGATACATATTTTTTTTTGTATATACATACATATAGTACATAGACAACACCTAAACCAATACAGTCATCATACACATAAATACAAAGCTTGTACTGTGCAAGGAATTGAACCGGAGTCCATCTGAAGGTGGTATGATAAACTGTTAGACCACCAAGGCAGTCATATGATTATTAGATGGGGTACAATGGGGTACAAATGTATCTATGTACAATGGTACAAAATTGCAAGAACTGAAGTAATATTTTCTTTATTACTACTAGGTGTAGTAATAAAGAAAATATTACTTCAGTTAAAACAAAAATGGATTTTCTTATAGAGGGCTCTGTACCATAATTAATGCAGTTTTATATATATACATCTAATAAGTATTATTATTATTTATGTGACTCCCCTGTATGGGAGATGAGTTGACCTAGCACTGTCCTACAATATATATTTTTTCTTAATATGTTTATCCTAATATTACAAATATAAAAGGGATTTCAGTTGTTACTTTCATACATTTTCTGCATAATTTTGTTGTCAAATCGAATTCAGACAAATAACAATTGAAATGGAACTAAATCTTATAATTTAACTTTATTAAAATTGATGTTGTGTGAAATTCATTACAAAAAACAATAGAATATTGTCAAAGCAAATTTTAGATTGCATTTAAATATTAAACAATATACTTTTTCAGAGATATAATCCATGCATATAGCAAACTGAAATAAGAAAGAAAAAATTGTGGGAAATCAATATATAGCATACTAGTAATTATAGTATCAGTTACACTCTGTATGTAAAATATATTTATATCACTTAATTTCCTAGAATTAACATATAAATACCACAAACATGCTTGTATGATTACATAGATAAATAAAAAGTTTAAGATATGCATTATAATTGTCATGCATGAATTGGATAATGATAGAAAAATAATAATAAACAAACCTGATTCATCGTTTGTTGGCGATGTAGGATAATCAGGTTCTAACTTAGTTGCCATGATAGGTATACCTGTGAACAAGTTAAGATTTTTGCATTTATTATCTTGCTCATATGCAACTCTTGAAAAAATTAGAAACAAATATTTTACTTACTAAGGTTATTAATAATGTTATGATTCTGGAATAAATGAATAACATTTAAAAACCAATTAAGGTTTAATAAGTATATTTAATATTTTCATTGTAGGGATAAAATATACTTTTAAACTCATTCACAGATAGAGGAGAACAATTTCATTCAGATAAATTATCAACATAAATGTAAAATAAAAAATAAGAAACAACTTCTTTTTCACTACATTATTATTAATCAATCAAGAGAAGTAATTGGCCAGAAGACCCGGCCAGATCAGAAATCAATTCAATCATCATAAATATAAAATAGATTTCTACTATTTTGCAAAACCCTTATCCAAATACATACATACTAAAGAGCAGAATAACAACTTAAACTCGCATCTTTCTTAACAACAATAACAACAGGCTACACATGGCAAGGAAAGACATGCATTACAAATAAAGAAACTTACGTTCATTATCCAAACAATTGGATTGTTTGTGGGAGAATTGAGGTCCAAAGCATTTAATATCTCATTACACAAATTTCAAATTGTTGCACTCAAAATGTTTTTGTTCACTGCAAAATGTACAGTCCAATGTAGGACAATCCACACAAACAACAAATTTCTATATCCGTAAAACACTATTCACACAATTAGAACACAATAAACACTATCTTCGGAAAATGCAAAATATACTATTTTCCGCGTACTTCTGTCACTGTTTCTTATAATACGAAAATCAAAATGGCCGGCTAAATAAAATAAACTGCTCGACTCATGTCAAAATATAAGCGTCGAGAATAGCGAGCGTCGCGCTCACGCTATTATGTATCACTTAATAATCCAATCAAGTGTCGAATTTTAGAATACTTATTACGATTGTAATCAAATGAAAATTACACTTGTAATCATAGTAATAATGAGTCAAGGTAAGCAAGTAAACGGCCGCTACGAAATCTATTCGCCTGCCGTGCGATTCGATCGAAACGAAACCACACAGTCACACAAGCAGGCTATGGACGCGACGGAACGAAATTCTATTCCGCTCACTCACAAGCACAGCCGCAGTGCCAGTCAGAGAAGCCCAGTGCCTGTGCGGAGAAGTGCCAGTATTGGCTGGCAAATACCAAGCGGTAGTTGACGCTGGAATTGTCTATCTCTTTCGAACACGGCTTTATTGCATATATCTGTCTCTTCTACGCTTTCTATGACTGGTGCTATTTATGTAACTCCAACTACACAGCAACATAAAATAGGAGAAGCATTTATTATCGGATCGGGTCGCCCGCACTTAGTACCCACGGAATGACCTCGCTTGCTCGGCTCGAGTGGCAGACAGAACGCTGTGACTTGTGAGACTTTGGATTTAGGTAATAATAATAATGCGTTGAGTTATACGATACGATTGTATCGCTCGGGCGGACCGCGCGCTTAGCGTGTTATCGACTTATCGGGTTTATACTGTTAATATAAGATGAGAATGGGTAGGAAATTATAAATGTTTATATTTTAATAATTACGTAGTACTTATTTTATAAAGCTTTGCAATACAATATTTTTTGCTATACTGTATGTGCTCCCCAATTTACATCTTAATGCAGGTAACATATTAAATTAATAGATAAGTATTTATTTAATGAAATAGTCGTACATATTACTATTACAAATTACATCATTCGACATTACATCTCGAATATTATAGGGAGAGATGCAAATGAGGCGTTTCGTCTCATTAATATGCGACATTTTCTGAAAATAGATGCATATATATTTGTTGAATGAAAGCATGTAAAAACTTTAAATAATACTCTATATTATGTAGATATAAATGAGAAAACTCATCAAAGATATTTCCTTCTTTTTATGTTTTATTTCAGAATTCAGACTTATTTTATCTCATTCAACTTCTAGTACTAGTACCGTTATAGTATTAGTTGCAACGAATCGCCACTCTTTCCGTTATCGGTAGAAACTCTATGGTGATAATAATTATTATCTTTTCAATATACATAATGTAAAAAACTATAATGTTAAAATAGTTTCAAATGATTAGATTACAGCAGTGTTTCCCAACCTTTTTTGTACCATGCTCTATATCAGCCTATCTAAAATTGTTACGCTTCCTGTGTAGGATATGCATGTGTAGATAAACAAATAAATTAATCTTCAAATTGAATTAAATAACTTGATTAATTTATTTTTTTCTTTTCCTATTTTTATTTTATAGTCCTTTTATTTGATACCCATAATGATAGGAATGGTCCGTACTCCCCCAGGAGTATACAGGTTAGGACCTCGAGGCGAGTCCCTTTGCTCCGTCATTAATTCTGGAGGCTACAACCCCCGGTTTAAGGTTTAAGACCTGTAGAAAGATGGAGTGCTTTAAAATTAACTCGTCCGCCATCTTGGGTTTTCCGCCATGTTGGATTTATATTGCCATCAAACAGCTATGCATTGTCACTAAACTTGTATAATATTTTTAGCTCAAAAAGTTGTATATAGCTGCTTGAAACTTGAGTTATAAAATTCCACCCAAACAAACATATGGTAGTTACTTTCATACAAATACATTGTAGGTAAAATAAAGCTTGTGAAAAAAATAAGAAGTACGTGAGATATTAATCTGTCGAACTTGCATTAACAATTTCATATCATTTAACTGATACTTTAGCGTTTTGTTTTTAAATTATAATCCGTAGAAATCGGATCAGATACAGATCGATGTATACTACCTATATATATACCTGTAATTTTTATCTTCAACCATCACTCATCGATGGCTGGTATTGGCATTGATAAGAGTAGATAAAGGAATTAAAACAGTTTGGTATCGCAATCTCCTAGTTTAGTACATAAACAACCTTATTCTAGAATGTAATTCGAAATTAATTCCTCATAGATAATACCGAGGCAGGCTACTACAAAGTTATTAAGCTATTTCTTACCGTGCTATCATTTATTACTTTATTTAATCAATAAACAATAACAAAAAGTGTTATATTTTATTTATTTATTTCAAGTTACTAATGGCCCATATGTAAATACCTTACAGACTAATATATATATGTAATAATAATATAAATATAAATCCTTACTGTGGTCATGGCACTGACCGCAAACTGTCACGATAGCGTCGATACTTCACCTCCTTCGGCCAGTAGTTCTCCTTAATGTGCATTGTGCATGTTGGTGAGGACCCGTATAATAAATGCCTATTATATTGTTAACTACACATAAATATAAAAATATGTCCCAAAATTCATTAAAATAAATACATAAATATATCTATTTTCAGGTCTAATTCGACGGGTTCGACAGAGAGATATAGTGCCATTAGCTTCTTTCACTCTTTATGTGTGTATAATTCTTGTTTCATTGACATTCATAACTCGTTTAATGCTATTTCCGGAGACTATTCCATTAGTCAACATAGTCAATTTGATCGTATAATAATAGGTTATCCCGGGTCACTTCTAGTGTCCACATTCATCCACTTTCACCTTATTTGTCTGGGGTATTTTTCTAAAATCTCTTATATGTTGACCCACATTTAACAACATATTTTATGGAAATTTGTTATTCATTTCTTTTGCCATTTTCACGTGAAACACAAAAATACAGGGAAGAGAATATTATTGAATTGGAAACTCCATTACAAGTGATCCAGTTATTAGCAATATATCCTGTCTGGTCGATCTCCACGCGGTTCCGCCTGGAAGTCATTGGGCTTATTTTCTCGTGTAAGCCATAGATAAAAAGCCTTATAAATAAATATACAAACACGAATACGAAACAAATACAAATACGAAACAGTTTTCAACTCAATTTTACAGTTTTATTATAAGTAAATAAAAGAAGATTAAAAAGATAGTAAAGAAAATAAATAATATAAAGACACGATGTGTCATAATAATTAAAAAAATACCAGAAATTATCTATATAATAAATGCTATCGTGGATTTATTATATAGATAATTCTACCCAGGTAATTTATAGGTAGCAAATAAAATTGCCGATAACGAAAATACAAATGGAAGAAATAACGATTTATAAAGTAAACAGGTATGTACATTCGTTCGTTATTTTAGTGACTCACTCCGCTCTATACGAATTAATATTGAGTATGAGGCGACACGTTCAAACTCAACCTTGCTGCTTAGTCACAGGGTCTGCAATGGAATGTGTAATATATTTTTTTTAATGAGAAGTCTATGTTGCATGACGAGTCGAGCTCGAGGCCGTTTCTATATTTTTTGCTTCTCACTTTTTACATCGAAATAAACGGGTATTATTTCTATTACAATGGAAATTTTATCAACATAAGAAGTCTAACTTCTACGCAATTGGGTCGAAGAATATGTAGGAACTTAGATAAAAGATTTTTTAGAAAGAAAGAAAGAAAGATTTTTTACGATTTTCAATCGTGCTAGATCGGAACATCGTTCTATTGTTCTTGTAATGTTATGTACATTCCTAGGTTAAAATAAGTGGAAAATATTTTGACGACCTCGATGGTCTAGCGACTTCCAGTGGTCGCGGGTTCGATTCCTCGCGCGGTAAAAACGTTTTTATTCTTGAGTATGATTGTATTGTCTTGGTGTTTACTATATATATTATATATGTATTTACAAAAAAGTATTTATATGAGACAACTCATATAAGTACTCATAACACAAGCTCTGAATGGCGCTCTGTGCATTGTCCAGGTTTAATATTATTATATTCTTTTCCTATTTTGAATCACAAGTAACTATATAGTATAAAAAAGGTAAAAACCGGTTTTACCTTTCCTATTCAACAAAGTGAAGTAACGAAGGGGTGGCAGAACGGGTAAAATACCACGAGCATCCGACCCGAGGGGGACCTTTTAGATAAAGGAAGAGCCCCCATCCGGTGAATGTTATGTTGGGCTTCACAACGTAGGTATAGTTATGCTACTATCGCATATAAACTAACGTAGATCATATTTATATCGACATTTTGAGGCTTTTCGCAACATTTGTGCAATGAGAGTAAAATTATTATAACACTAGTTATTACCCACCACTTCGTCTGTCTCTTTTAAGATAATATATTATGGATGATAATGGAATTGTACATCCGTCTGTGCTAACTGTTTACGCTGGCAGGCCAGCAGTGGAGGATGTTAAGATAAGCATTAAGTATATATATATTATATAAATTCAACATCAATTTATCCCGATGGTTTCCAGGTGGAACCGCGTGGAGATCAACTCACATGATACATTGCTAGCAATGGGGTTGTTAATCCATATTGCTAACAATCCCCTTCTCTTGAAATAGCGTTTGTTCATCCTCGTCATACCATCTATCCTCTAATGGGTAAACGGTTACTAATTAAAAATTAAATTTAATTAGTATCTGGTTACCTGGGAATACAAAAAGACAAGCAGGCATAGTACTTTCCCATTCATTACATTAGTATTAACATACAATAACTTACTTATTATATAGTTGCTATACTTATTACCTACTTAGTTTAGATAACATTCTGTTATGTTATCCAAACTTCGGCTTCAGAGCAGAGTGATGAGTTCGAGTCTGGTACTTATCAAAAAACTTTGGATTAATTTATGTTACTGCATACTCTTTATTGATGGAAATATAGGTAATATACCAAATTATTTGCAGAAATAGCGGTAGCCACATTGGGTTCTAGCATCACGACGAACCCGTCTATCCCCCTGTAATAACAACCATGAAGGCAGAATATTATTATAAGTAAACTATAATAATAGCTGTAACCCGCAGTTTAGTCTATTAAGATTTAAGATAAAAGACAGAATATACTTGCTTGTGAAACAGTAAATTCTAATGTCAGTTTCATTAAGATTTCCTCACCTGATTTCGTGAAAGATATAACATTTGGTACTGTAGCGCGGTGGTTATCACCACACCACTGTAGCTGTATATATGATGTCATGAGATGTCGCTGCATAATATATTGTTTATTGTATTATGTAGGTAATGAACATACCGGAGAAATGATTATACTATTTATTGTACATTAGTAAGTTTATTATATTGTGTGCTACATGGCTTATTAGTAACGAGTTCATTCGACGCGGAGTCGGGACGAGATTTGATGACTGATTTTACATCTGACTTAAATCTATGATAGCGGAGACTAGACGTAAACTACTGGAAGGGTCTCAAGTGTTGACAAACATACATGTTAGAATATTTTTAGTCCGTATTTTGAATTGAAAATAATAATCTACTCTGTACAACTTTTTATATTCTCTGTTTTTATTAACTACTAGCTATATCCGCGACTTCGTCCGCGTGGAATTTAATAAAAATGTTAATTAGAGAATTGTTCTAAAATAAAAGTAGCTTAAGTTACTCCTTATTACA